TTGGTTTCCAACATGGACTCAAATGCCCTGGAAGCTACCCCAGGTCATCCCCGAAGTGACACTCACTTTCCGTGCGTGCGGACCAGACTTATGGGAGAATAGATGCGTATCAGGCTTCTTTCAGAGCCACCAGGACCGGAGCAGAATGAAGACGGCGTGCAATATCTTCTTTTTCTGGTTCCTGACCGATCGAGGGGTATTACGATGTGGTCAACCTGTAACAGCGTCGAGTTCATCATCTCGATCATCATCTCGACACGGCTGCAAGATAGAAGTTCTGCGATTGGAAGTAATCGGCTCCGTACTAGAAGAGGACCAAGTCCTATCACCAGCGGGCATACCGATACGCACACTGAATCCGTGGACAGGAAAGCCTCCCAACAGGAAGGTCGTCCACCCCGAGTCACTCGCTACTTGGCTGAAAGAGGAAGTACATAGTCAGCTCTACAGAGGTTTTCTCGGAAGGAATATATGGAGTTCTGTTGGTGAGGTTGTCATTACTTGCATGGGTGAGCAGCTAGCGTCCTTCGATAGATCGAAGTATACAGAGTTGTGAGACTCCAGAGGGTTCCAGCGCACTCGACTACAATTGTTTCGAAATATACAATAGATATGTATAATATGAGTACTAGCAGCAACCCATGCAATGTCTTTAACTGCCACGACTTAGTGATTAGAATACAGAAGTGCTTTGTTTGGTTCTTGCCGTATATCTTGGATGCCTGCAAGCTACCACATGCTTCGTCTACACGCATCACGACTGGCGATAACTCTACAAGCATGGCCAAGCGCGGTACATATTGGAGCTTCTAAAGTCGAATGGGCCGACACGTCATGCCTTTACATTGGCACACCAAACCGAAATACCACCTTTCCATAGTTACGTCCGTGCAAATTAGACGAAGTGAGTTAGTTCCGGACCTATTCAACTCATAGAGTCTCTCGACGACACATAGATGGGAACGCTTTTCACTGCTACTTCATAGATAGAGACCGGGAAGACTTCTAGGACTTGGAGTCCCTCGCTGGGTACTTAGACAATTGAGCCCCGAAAGCTCCTGCAGCTTTCTCGTCCACGTAATCACCATTATCTGCGACACTTGCATACCTACGGCGCAACACCCACGTTACCAGCTCTAAAAACATCTCAACGGGCATATGCCTGCGCTGCCCTTGAAGCTCATACTGAAAGACAAGCGAGAGCGTACTGACGGCTTGGTCCGCTTAATATATGAAGTGACTGTACCGACGATCTCGTGCTTGAATTAACTTTCATCACCGTTCTCAGCCTCGCAGGCTCAACGGCTGATACAACCCACCACGCGTCTCTGATGAAAATTGTATATGTTTCCGAAGCCTTACTCCGGGGGTATATAAATCCCTTAGCTCACCACGTATTTCTGTTCCACACCACCGCTGCTCGCAGCATCCAAAAGATTGCAGGGTCAAGTACATGACCAGTGACTAAAAGCACCGAGGCTGCCTGTCAATGGCCGCGTGGTCCGCGAATTCTCTTCAAAATAAACAAGAAGCGAAGCATGGTGGCGCCCTTGTGTGAGCGAAAGCAACTGTCCCAGCTTAAGTTTACCGGTTTCAAGGAGTACTTGAGATGTCCCCCATTGAAGTTCCGTGCAGCATGACTGCTGATAATGACACTCACTACACATCACTGATGATTCCAAGTATCCGCTCAACCAACAGCCTTTACTGTAGCTATATAAACCCTCGAGTCGACCATAGATTAGTTCTGCACACGGTCATTGCCAAAGACAGCACTAAAAACAAAACCTCAACCAAATTATGTCTTCGGACTAAATTTCCAAACAAGGTGCTCGATATTTGTGGGGATTGGTTTCTGGCACTGAAATCTTGTTCCAGGACTGGAATGTCCGGTTTTTGGTGCGACCGAAAGTGCTTTCCTTAGGTTCCATGCACCTCCCTCGCTAGACCGAGCCAACCACGCCGGCCCTGGATGCAATGATGATGAGGTGCATCATCCACATCTGACAACGCAAGTCCTCAGAGTCTTCACAAGATACATAAATACTTTCGCTTTTGAGACTCCTTTCTTCTCTACGCGATCATGCAGGATGCTTTTGTAGACTAAAAGTAATTGTCACAACCGCCCATGTCTTGTTACTAAAGTTGGTGAGCGCTCTTCCAATGGCTGTTTTGGCCTTGGAACGGCCCGAAAATGAAGCTAAAGGACGACATTTTGCTTTTCTGTGACTTGTAGGTCTCGTTTCCGTTCTCAATATTGACGACGCTCCGGTGATGATGATGTTCAAGCCTACAAACGTCACGATATGATGATGAGAGTGCAATCTCGGATGACGAGCCGTGCCAAAAGGTATATAAACGCCTTACCTAACCCTCGCTCTGTCCCCCCACATAGTTGCAAGACTCAATCATCATCCAAAAGAAGCGTACAACGGTGCTATGTCCTCGGGACTGGGAAACAAATTTCACGATGTTCAATGTCGGCGAGTGTGGTGCTCGTGGACAAAAAGAGCTTGTACACCATTGCTAGAGCAATGAAACTGCTGGTGGAGCGCATCATCGATAGAAATCGGCGATACAAACGAAAACAGGTGGCCTCTCTCTATTCTGGGAGATATAAACTGCCTCACTCCAACCTCCGTTCCATTTTCTACACTATCCCTCTGGACTATTGCGAAGTCTAAAAACGCAAGCAAAAGGACTCATGTCCAAGAATCCAAATTATCCCAGAACTATGGAAGACGCTGGGGACGGCGCGCGTGAGCTCGAGTTTAGCCTTTTTCTATGAGATATGGTGATGATGATAGAGTGCACTACCACCAGCCCAAGATAACCAGAAGATATAGATCATCTCTTTTTCTGGGCATATAAGTTTCTCCCTCCCTCCGTTCCCAAGTTCTTTCTTTACACAATCTTTCTGTACCATTCTGTGGTCTGGAAAAAACAACCAGCAACCCACATGTCTTGAGCAGAAGAAGCAATGCTGGAAGCAATACATGTCGGAAGCGTCGCGTGGCCTTCAAGCCATTTCCAACATGTCATTTTGGATCGACACGATACTGATGTTAATCGTCATCACAACTCGTTGGTTGGGAGTGTGGATGAGTCCAGGCCGGTCTTTGTGTTGGGTATAAAATCCCTTCCCGCCGGACCCGACTTCTTTCTTCTTTACACTTTCTTTGATAACTACACTGTAGTCTAAAAGATAACGAAGAGGTCAAGATGTGCCTTGGACTAAAGAAGAGGTGCACAAGCCACATGTTTGCGGCCTCGTGTGGTGCACGAACTCAGCACGTAGAGTGTTTCCCTTGTACCGATATACACAGTGCTGACGATATGTATCACTGCGAACTGGTGATCGACAACATCAGAAGGAAGTTGTTGTTCCTCGCTCGGGTATATAAGCCCCCTCGAATCTGTCTCTATTCTCCTTCTCCACACTGTCATACTGGACCAATTGTGGTCTAAAAACCTTCTTCGGCTACCTTCATGTCTTGGAGGCTCAAGAACCTCACAGCATAGATGATGTGGCCGGCGTGCTCTTCCTTGGACCAAGTTCTACCTTCGCTTGCTTCTTCGGGACCACGCGGTGATGAAGCGCACCATCTTGCTTCAATGACCTCAAGCGTGAACACGTCCACTTCATAAGTGGGAGAAGTATATAAACTCCCTTCTCGGCCTGTCTTCTATTTTCTACACTACTTCGTGGCTACTTCGTGGTCTAAAACCCGCGGCATCCTACGAATGTCTTTGGTCTAAAAAGGGACTTTCGCAATCTGTCATATTGGGCGGTGGGAACGCCGAGATAACCAAAAGCATGTTGCCCACCGTGGGTTTTCAAAGCTGCCCTAAGGGATGATGATAACGATGATGATGCGCAGCACCTTGCTCTAATGACGTCTTAGGGGACGAAAAGGTATATAAACCCCCCATTCTCGTCCCTATCTTCTTCTCTACACGACTCCCTGCCGCTGAGGTGTGGTCTAAAATCCAAACCTTCCGTATCCATGTCCTGGGGACTGAAAGAATCACCCAGACCTACGATGCCTGGCCGTGCGCTCGTCTCGATACCTACATCCTACTCGCAAGTACTCCTCTCGCGAACGTAGTGATGAAGCGCACCATCTCAGTAAGATGACCATGAAAATGGACATGTGCATCGGGGAAGGGGATATAAACCCCCCCTATTATCCTCCTAGACTTCTTCTCTACACAATCACCTGCCGCTGGGGTGTGGTCTAAAATCCAAACCTTCCGTATCCATGTCCTGGGCACTGAAAGCAACATCCGGACCGCGTATGTCTGGCTGTGCGCTCGTCTTGAGACCTCCATCCCGCTCATAGCGTGCTTCGCTCCAACTATTCAGTGATGAAGCGCACCACCTTAGTGCAATGATCATGAGAATGGACATGTGCATCGGGGAGGGTATATAAACCCGCTCGATTCACGAACTTACTTTCTCCACACTACTCTTCGAGGCTGCGCTGCGGTCTAAAAGAAGTTATGGAAACTCCAAATGATGGGGATTAAAATCCATCGTTGCAAAATTCGATGCGGGCGGTGGGACCGTCTGGGTGGACTGAAAACTCCATCTCAGACCAGTTATGGCGTTCGTCTGCGTCTTGGGGACGAAACAGAAGATGGCAATGTGCTATGTGGGCGGTGGGATCGTCTGGGTGGATTAAAATCTCTGTCGGAGAGTTGACATGGCGTTGGATTGCGTCTGCGTGGACTACCAAAAGTAAACCGGAATGGACTCATGGACGGATGAAGATCTGAAACCAAGGCGAGACGAACAAGAAAGGAGGAGACTAGATGAGCTCGAGTCAAGTGGTGAGGAACAGCATCATCACCATCAAGCCCTGCAAGTCCTGCAAGTCCTTCAAATTAGTCTTGATCTATCTGGGTATAATTCAACCCCCTTTCCGCCCCCTCCTTCCACCATCCCTATCACCTCGCAGCCCGCCATCGCATCACCCAGTCTATGTGAACCCACGAACCTAAAACCCTCGCCGCCTCCCCTTCCCTAGCATCGGCTTCTTAACCACACCATCCACCTGAGCCTTCTTAGCACCCACGCCCGGCCTCTTAATCACCGGCCCGGCCTCTTCCTCCGCCAGCCTCCGCTCCTCCCTCTCTTTATCCACCGCCATCTGGGCTTCCAGCTCCGCCTTACGATTAAACTCCGTCTCAGTGACACGCTTATCCCTCGCCGAGTACCCCTTTTCCTTAATGGAGTAGAACACGGCCCCCAAGTCCGCAAGCCAGTGCGGATCGACAGACGTAACGCATGACATGTACTCCTTGCTCGTGAGGATAAGCTCATGGTACACCACGTAATCAGGTAAATATCCCAACCCATACAGCGCAGACGTAGGATGCAACTGAATAGTCACACTCGTGCGGAGATTAATATACTCGCCGATGCCCTTAACCTTGGCAGCTTGATGGTAGTACCCGGAGCAGATACACTTGCGAATAACGTCCCAATCCGTGCCGCAACTCACGAGGTCCATCTTCTGCATCTTCATGATGTCGAGGAGCTGGTCTCTGATTTCCTTTGCGCGGCGGAGCGCCTTGGGGTGCAGGAAGTGCCGGACGCACCAGCCGTCCGAGAAGCCGTTTACTTTCCATTGGGTGTAGACGTGTAGGAGGGTGAGGTGGTCGGATTCGGGGACGAAGAACTTTTCGCGCGCGGCGTCGGATTCTTCTTGGCGCTCTTTGGGGCGGTAGAAGACGCTTGGGACGGAGAGCATGGATACGATTGTTAGCATCTCTTCGCTGCATTCGTATTCTACTGCCGTGATGATGAGTTTGGCAAGCGAGGGGTCCATTGGGAAGGCTGTCATGGTGCGGCCCAGGGGTGTGAGATCGCCGATGTTGTCGAGTGCGCCCAAGGCCCAGAGGTCGAACAAAGATGTGGTGATTGTATCTTGAGGCGGCGGGTCCATGAAGTCGAAGTCCAGCAAATCCTTCACACCCAGCGACTTGAGTAGAAGGACCGTGTTGGCGAGGTTCGTACGCTGAATCTCTGGGATTGTTTGAATGTAGAACTCGTCACGAAAGGCTCTCTCAGTGTAGAGATGGAAGGACTTTCCCGGCCCTGTACGTCCAGCTCTTCCAGCTCTCTGTGAAGCATTCGCTTGTGAAATTGGTGTGATTTGAAGGGTGTCCATGCCCATTTTGGGGTTGTAAACCTTCAACTTGGAGAAACCGGCGTCGACTACGTACATAATGCCGTCGACAGTTAAACTTGTTTCTGCGATGTTGGTTGCAACGATGACTTTGCGGACTCCAGGAGCAGCACGGTCGAAGATTTTGGCTTGTAGGTCTGCAGGCATCTGACTGTAGATAGGTAGAATGCTCAGCTTGGGCGGATCGTTGAGCAATTTCAACCTTTCCGCAACAAGCTCGCAGGTTATCTCGATGTCTTCTTGACCGGTCATGAAGACTAGGATATCGCCAGGACCTTGAGATACGTGGATAGCCAAGACCTGCTTGACTGCGCTGTCGACGTAGTCTTCGCACGGAGACCTCGAGTACTGTATGTCGACAGGGAATGTCCGTCCCGGAATAATGAACTCCGGTGCTCCACCGTAGAATCGCGAGAAGCGCTCCGAATTCATAGTTGCAGAGGTGACGATGAGCTTGAGGTCGCGCCTTCGAGACAAGACCTTCTTGATGAGGCCCATGAGCACGTCAGTGTTGAGGGCCCGTTCGTGGGCTTCATCCATGATGATACAAGAGTATCGGTCGAGGTCCGGCTCGTTCAGTGACTCTCGCAACAGCACGCCGTCTGTCATGTACTTGATCTTGGTGTCCTTGCTAGTGCAGTCCTCGAAACGAATAGCATATCCGACCGTTCCACCGAGCTTGACCTCCATCTCTTCGCTCACACGTTTCGCAACGCTCATGGCAGCGACACGTCGCGGTTGTGTGCAGCCGATCAAGCCATGGTCCGCATACCCGTCTTCGTAGAGGAATTGGGTGAGCTGCGTCGTTTTTCCAGATCCTGTTTGACCAACGACAATGATGACCTGGTTATCGCGTATTACGCGGAGTAAATCTTCACGTACTGCAAATGCTGGGAGATACTGCCGCTGCTCTCGCAGCGTCTTGCTCTTACTGAAGGCCGACTGACCTTCGTTGCTTTTGAGGTGCTGGGCAAACTTATTGCCGCCCTTGTTCTCTCCTTCTTCTACTCCTGGAGCAGGCGCTGCACTATCTGCGTCATCCTCTTTTACGCCCATGATGTTACCTAGTGTAGTGCCCTTGACATTCGTAGCCTCTTGCGCTTGCTTGGTTCTCTCTTTCTGTTGCCGCTTTTCCTTCACAACCCGACTTCCTCTTCGACTAAACACTGCCATATCGCTTTGGGGGTCACGAACTGCTGGTACAGGGTCTATCTGCTTGGTGAAGACCCTCTTTCCGTCCAGAAAAGGTGGCTTCAGATCATGAACCAGAATGTGAATTCGTGTCGATTCGTTATCGTCATCAAAATCGGTATCGTAAGTCCTTCTTTGAGCCACACCAGATTGGAGCATCCGGTTAGTCTCCCATGCATCCACATCCTTCTGCTTCTGTACCGCTCTTGCGCTTTGCCTGCTATTCTGCTTTTTCTCAGTAAGCGCCGCCTCTCTCTGCGCGTCTTGCCATGTGCTCTCTGCCCCGCCAAACGGATTGTGCGTGTCATCGCCAAAGGTGTGTCCATTCTCTTCTCCGCCGTACCAGTCTCGATCCAGCGCCATCGAGTCGAAGTCCTCCACCATGGCTTCAGGCCCATCGAAGGATTTCTGGTGTGGTGTGCTGCCATCCTCGCGGGGCCTTGGAGTATGCGATCGTGATGATGCGGGTGAGTCTCTGTGCATTCGCTTCTGGAATTTGGGCCGTGGAGCTACCGAGAATTCCTCGTTGTCGAGCTTGCGACGTTTGGGGCTATGTCGACGGTCCATGGCAGCGGGTTGCAAAGGCCTTGAGTCTGGAAAAGTCGGCTGTTGCGTAGATTGTTCTAGTATAACTCAGCCCAGGTTCTGCAGCGGTCTCCCACGCGGTCGCAGAGCTGTAGCGGGGTCGTGGAGGAAGCTCTGTGAGTGATGGTCGTTGCCCTGGAAATTTCGGGGGAGCTGCGGAGGTTGCGCCACCACAGCCACAGCCCCGCCACGCGCCAAAAAGTTCGAGGTCGAAATTATTTCCCCACGCTTGCAGCACATGCTTCGTACGCTGCATTATACCCAGCATGTCTATGATCACAGCGACAACATGGGTGCCTCGCGGGTTTGCGGCACCCTTCCCCTCTAAATATGTTTTCGACGAGGACGAGTATGCCCGCATTTCCGAGCTCGCAAAGCTCCAGCTCGACGATGCGAAGGAGGACTTAGAAGAGGCGCAAGAAGAGGAGAAGCAGAAGCAAACCAACGGCAGCGGCGGCGCAACCAAAGCTCAGGACGCAGAGTACGTGGTATCTGCTACGTGCATATTTGCAAGCTTATTTCAACAGGGAAATCGACGATGACCTAAAAGAGTACGACCTCGAGCACTATGACGATGACGACCAAGATGGCGAGGGCGATACCATGGCTATGTTTGGTAACAGCAAGAACCTGGCGTTCCACGAGAATGACGAGGATGACCCGTATATCACAATGGAGGGCAACGCAGAAGAGGAGGACGAGGAACGGGAAGAGCTCCAGATCTTGGGCACGGACAACTTGGTGCTGGCAGGCCGGATAGAGGACGAGGTCGCACATCTGGAAGTCTACGTATACGAAGACGAAGCAGACAACATCTACGTGCACCACGATATAATGCTACCCGCGATCCCGCTCGCAGTCGAATGGTTGGATCTTCCAGTTGGAAAGGCCGCCGCAGGAGGCGACGCAAAGGGAAACTACGTTGCTGTAGCCACAATGGACCCGGACATTGAAATCTGGAATCTCGACATGGTCGACAGCATGTACCCAGACGCAATCCTGGGACAAGGCGCAGAGGATGCAGACAAGCCGAAGAAGAAGAAAAAGAAGAAGTCGAAGAAGGCAAACGACGAGTTCCACGTCGACGCTGTTCTCTCACTTGCCGCAAACCGCCACCACAGGAATCTGCTCGCATCATCGTCCGCAGACAAGACGATCAAGCTGTGGGACTTGAACACGACCAAGGCCGCAAAATCTTACACATACCACACGGACAAGGTTTGCTCAGTTTCCTGGAACCCAGTGGAATCTACAGTCCTGCTCAGTGGCAGCTACGACCGCACAATCGTAGCAGCAGATATGCGCGCCCCCGACGCAAAAGCGCCACGCTGGGGCGTAGAAAGCGACGTAGAGACCGTCCGCTGGAATCCCCACGACTCAAACTACTTCTACGTGTCGACCGAGAACGGCATTATCCACTACCACGACGCCCGCAACGCACCCGCCGACCCCTCCCAGTCAAAAGCTGTCTGGGTCCTCCAAGCCCACGACGAGTCGATCTCCTCGTTCGACATCAACCCTGTCATCCCCGGCTTCCTCGCAACCGGTTCGACAGACAAGCAGGTCAAGCTGTGGAACATCCAGGACTCCGGCCCCTCCATGGTCGTCTCGCGCGATCTCGGCGTCGGCAAGGTCTTTTCCACGACGTTTGCGCCCGACAAGGAAGTCGGATTCCGCCTCGCCGTCGCAGGAAGCAAAGGCGCGGTGCAGATCTGGGACACTTCCACCAACGCCGCCGTTCGATCAGCGTTTGCGACCAAAGTGCCGCAGATGAAGGGCGACGGGAAGGAGAAGGTCGTGGGGCTGGATGAGGCTGAGACGGATTCCGATTCCGACGAGGGCGAGAGTGGGGATGACGACGAGGACGCGGGCGAGAAGGGGTACGAGTCGATGGAGGAGTAGACGTGCCAGATGCGGAGTACAGAAAAGCCTGCGATACCCAATCCAATCCGTTTGTCCTACATTCTTGTGTTGGAGCTGTGCGTGCCGAGAGACCCTGACTGTGGTGCTTCACGCTGCGGCACAAGTTCACGCAATGTTGATGCTGCACGACGGTGAGCTGCTTCGACGTGCGCCGCACATTCGCGACGGTCTTGCTTCAGCCGCATGTACACAACCTCTCGTCTCATTCGACAAGAAATATCAATATAGAACGTCACCGTTCTTGTCGACGATTGTAGGCCTCGGCAATGGTCACGACATGGTTTCAGACATGGCTGCGCCGTAATTAGCAGCAGGACGTATGACACGCAGGTACGCGGCGCACGGTTGGCTTACGTAGAGCAGGCCGGGGAATGCATGGATGTGGGCTACACAGGGCAATATATTCGGCACTGCTTTTATTATTTGCGACTGTAACTATGCAACGATGATCTTGGGAATTGATTGTGCACAGAATGCTGAATTAGGCTGCGACACTGGGGCGGGTTGGACTGTGAGCGTACTGCAGGGCGGTGGACGTCCAACACAAAGACAAGGCGATTTCTGAAAGTTGTCTCTTTGTAAACACGGCATGCTGTGAAAGACAAAGCGACCCTTGACATGCTCGACTCGTGGGCGTGAGGATATCGTCCCGTGGTAGACGGGTCGGCACAAGTCGACGCTTCGGGACACTCTCGCTGTCGATGCCATGCCAGCTGTCAAACGTCATGTACGAAAGCAGCATTCCATTCCAAAGCAAGCCACGAGGAACGCACACATGGCCACGTCCATCTACAAACCTGCACGCGACGTGAACAGTTCATCACAACAACACACCAAGTCTCACATCCACACCTCATCGCAATATGCCGATCGACCAACCGCGCTTCCATCCCGCATCCCGCATCCGACCGCACACTAACCTCAGGCGCTACCAAAAGGGACACTCTGGTTCAACAGCGCACTAGCGCGGTCGAGAACTGTGTTCGTTCCTGAAAAAGCGGAACGTTGACTGATGGCGCGCACACGCTTTTCGATGGCCATGCACACAAATGCCAAATGCCGCGTCGCTGCCCAGAAAGGTGTGCCGCTGGCAAACGCTCCGGCGTCCACGACTCGCGTCCATCCCAACGTTTCTTTGACGCTGCGCTGTTTCGAAACGGCGGGCGCGGCGCGAGCAAGCGAAGAAACAAAGACGGCATGCAGGTGGGAGCGAAGCGCCGCGTGGACGTGAGGCCAGCGAGTGCGCTCATCCAGCACGTCTGTCTGCGAGGGATGGGATGGCATGGCATACGGCGCGGTCGAGTGAGGACCGGCCATTTGGCGCCTGAGGACTGGAACCTCACCACCCACGCTGGCTACGCCACGCTGCCAGCAGTCCCGTCTCGCTTTTGCCCGGCTTACGCAGAAACGTCCCTTGCGGGCGGAGAATTAATGGAATCAATGCCACGGCACTGAACAGAAAACAGCGTCGCTGGTCGCCGCAACCCGCGTCATCAAACCCAAAAGGAAAGTCAATAAGGATCAAACCCAAAAGGAAAGCCAATGAGGCATGCTTTCAACGTGAGGAGAGCGTAGACGGCTTTTGGGCGGGTTGAAACAGCCATCATCTCAGTTGGCCATGCACGATGGCGAGAGCAGGCACGCAGGCGAAGCATCCCCTGCGCGTCTCTAACACGCTGGCGGCGATGCAGAGATGCCATTCGCGGGCGCCCAAAACAAACGCCGGCCTAGGCTCGCGGTGGAGCGGCCGGGGGAAGACTCGGGCGGTGGCGGCCTGTTCCCTGCCACCTCCCACGAGCCGTCCTGCCAATCTCTGCACGCACAAGGCGCGGTCGGCTTAGCCTACCACACCAGCTGCGCTCACCAGAGGATGCAGGGCTCCTGCCCAAAGCGCTGGTTTTTCAACACTCGGTCCCCCTGTTCACATCCCATCGACATCACCCTCCCTTCCCTTCGCCTTGCTTGCCATTGCGTGCCCTCGACGGCAGACTTCACTCCCTCTCGCGACCCGGTGTTCGCTCCTTTTGACGCTGGACCTCACGCTCTTTGACAGACCCTTGTTTCTACCTATCCTTCACCTTCCCGTGCTGCGAGCCAGCTCCAGAGGACCAAAACCCCAAAATCAATCACATCCGCTTCCGTTTTCTGACAAAGTATCGGACTGCACCGTCAGGCAAGCTCTGCGCCACTACCGCCGCGACCTGCAACTGCCCGTACCACAGGCCCAGTCCGCATTCATCACCGGGTTGCACCAACAGCGCACACGCGCACTGCTCAGAGCCACCAGACAACTGTCATCAGCCCTTCTCACACTCTTCACACAGCGCTGCAACACTCCAGAGCGCCGCCCCGTCAGCTGTCTTGCTGCATCACGCCAAAGCGCTGCTCCTTCCTCTCGCGGTCCAGCCTGTGCGCCAATTTACCCGCGACCACCTCCCCGCACAGCACCTTATCGGAGAAGCGTCCCCATTTCTGACTTGCCGCAAAGGATCCCCGGCCCTTATACCGACTCAATCTGGCCTCTCTACCGTAGTTGATTAAAAGTAAATCTCACCCGGATTAATTCCCCACCATGTCTATTGCGCGCAGCTTCACCAAGCGCATCAAGCGGCCCTCCAACGATGCCGCCATCCCCGCAACACCGACGCGCAGCCAGAGTGTAAGAAGCCCTGGCCTGGCCATCAACCGCGCCAAGATTTCCGCACCTGTTGCTCTGGTCTCCACGACAAACATGCTCAGCTACAACGCCCCGGACATCGTGCCCGTCAAGACGCCCTCGTCGTCCGCATCAACACATTCCGCCGACGACTCGGACCACAGCGTCTCGACACGCTCAAGGGCGTCGTCGCACGCTTCGCACGACACCTTGACGGACGCCTCGTCAGTGAGCTCATCCTCGCCCACATCGCCAGCACCAAACCACCTCTCCGGCTACTTCGCTGCTGCCAACAAGAACATCCGGAAATCCGCATCGTCCGGCAACCTCCAGCAGCTGAAGGAGCAGATCGAGGAAGAGCCAGCTGTCCCGGCCATCCCGGAGCGCGCCTTGTCCCACAGTAAGCGCGCACACGAGCGCCTCGCCCAGAAGCGGTCCCTGCAGAACATCTCGCGCACCCGGTCGTCCCGCGAGCACCGCACCTCGGTCGACATGTTCAACGCCGCCGCCGCCATCAAGGAGGAGTCGCACCCCTTCGGCAAGGAGCTCGAGCAGCTCAACGAGGTCGCTGAGGAGTTCAACGGCGTGGTCCGCGACGCCGAGATGGAGGCTGACTATGCCGTCATCCGCGAGCGCAACCTCGCTACTTTCTGCGCCGCCGACTACCTCGCTGAGATCCAGCCGTTGTTCAGCGCACGCTTCGGCAGCGTTGCGCAGCCGGCGCCCATGGCGTGGATTTAAAACTGCGAAAACAGACACGGCTGTGACGATTCTACTTTCTTTTCTTTCTACTGTATATATCTTGCCTCTCGGGACGACATCGACCGACTACACTAGGTCCATCGCTCGCTCGCTCGACTGCTGCACATAATCACTATTCTCTATTCTTTATGTCCTGTCCTGTCCTGTCCTCTGGCTTTTTGGCATCGGCGTTTGCGAAACTAAAGGACCCGGGAAAGATACCTGGTTCTGGTTCGAACTCTATGGATTTTACTTCACTCTGGGAGGAAGAAGAAGCAAGCTTATTCGATCTGTTTGATCTATCTATCTGGTTACGCGTACATGTATATGCGGGCTGTCCTATCTTTAACGATTTATCGATTTTATTGTATCGAGGTGTATATGAGTGTGTAGGCTAGGCTGGGGCGGAGAGGATGAGATTTGCGAATTTGATTTGGAGGCGTTACACTGCAAACAAACTCAAAGAATGAGAATGAGAATTAAATATGCTACGATGCACGTTCGAAATCATTGCTGATACCTGGGTGAGATTGTGACTAGACTACCTTGCTTTGCCGAGCCTTCTCTGGTCTGTCTCGAACCGAACCTAAGGAAAGAGAAGCACGGGCTGTATGTCACTTCGGCATAGCGCAACACCGAGGGTGGGTGTGCGGTGCGATTACGATTACGACGCCGCGTCGCACGGGGAGGTTACGCTCGGGCCGTGCGTGAGGTTACACAGATGGAGGTGTCATGCTCGCCTCGCCGAGCATGTTCCCCTCACATGTGCGGTGGTGTTAGGGCACAGTCTCGGTTGCTTGTGAAGGAGAGTGTGGGGTACTAAGCTACCCTGGCGTGTACGGGTAGGCAGCGACTGCAGCGACTGACTGGGTATAATATACTTCGTAGACCTAGTCACACCCTAGTCTACCTCGACGAGACGATTGCGTTTTGGTTTTGGGGGTTGGTCGCGTATGGGCGGGAATGTACTGTCTGTCTGTATAGAAAGGTATGGGTGTGGTGTGGATACGTGGTGGGTTTTGTTGTGAGGAGGGAGGAGGGAGGAGGGAGGAGGGTGGGAGTCGCTGCGAGACTACCTAGGTAAGGAGATGGATGGGCTAAATGTGCTGAGTGTGGACAGGGTAGGGTGGGATGGTATAGGTGGTGTTAGGGATGGATATGTGCGGGCTTTCAAAGCAGGATGGAACAAGACTTGGAAGCGTGGAAGTAGCCGAGCCAGGAACGCTGGGGGTGCTTCCTGTGTGAAGCAGGGGTATGGTACTGTTCGATTTTGGGGCTTGTATCACGTGCTGTTCAACCCTGTTCGTAGGGGATGCTATGGACTTAGTTTATGATATTGTTGTTAAGTGGTGATGCATAGGATTGAAGCGTGACGCGAAGATGCTGCTTTGTTTGGTAGCACTATTAAAGAGGGTAGGTAGCCTGTGCGTTACCCGTCGCCCATCCTATCATGCGCGCCGGCTCGCGGGTCGTAGATGGTAGCAGCTTGTGCCGCTGATGGTTATCATAGAACGATATAAGAATGCCATGATTGTTGAAGGTAATCAAGTGTATTAGTCAGATTTGCGAAGATGAAGTAAAGTTGGTTGAGATGATTGTGCTGTACCTGACTGGTTGATAGATTGCAAGGGGTGAAGGGGTGGGAGTATAGAGTAGGTTTGAAGTAGGGAATGACTAGAAGGTGTGTGGAAACCGAGAGCTTAATGTTCCGTCGTTGGGATATCAACTAATTGTGGGATGTTAATTTCTGGCGCTTTTTTCTTCTGGGTGACGCATAGGGTGGCGTGTCCAGGATTACATACGGAGTTAAGTCGAGATTCTGGGCTTTGTAGTCGACGGAGCGGCTCGAGGGTAAGCGATGAGGGTTCTGGCTTTACGTTTTAGCCTGGAGGCAAGGCTGGCTTTGTACGAGGCTGGCTGGTGGTTTTGTGAAGTTTTGGAGCCTAAAGCAGAGCTCGGAACCTCTTTTGGAAACCCTTTGCGAAATTGAGATTGAAGGCATGTATGAAAGATTGGTTCTTCCTGAGGAGGTAAGCGTTAAGACTAATGTGTTGGTCCTTATGTCGCCGTTCAGAATCTCTGCATGCTTTTTCCGGACGAAGTTCTAGAATTTACCTACCTACCTATCTACCCGGCATGCTCTTTTGATGTCCTTGAGTAGCTAGTGTTGATTCTCATACAGATACTGCAGCACTGAGTGAACTGCTAAGCAAGTCATGTGTAAGAACTCCATAATATCTACTACCATGACCTGTCTGGTGATAGAAATCCTTCATCATGACCTTTCTACCATAACGGTATAGAAGATGGCTCATCTGGAATAGCATAAACTATTTCTATACTATTATGGCAGCAAAGCTGCATTCATGTACTATCAAAGATGTCTTTTGGTCTATAGTGGGCTTCTCTTCTGTCCTTCCTGCTTCGACTCCTTCTTGTCGTAAGCACCAACCTAAGCCCAAAGACGCTTCCCCCAACTTACTGATAAATCACTCCTGTGGAAAGTATCATCTTGTATGTTTTCGAAGTTTCTTCGGTCGGAGGCAAGCATTATCTCCCACCGCATATCACTCGGAACCAGGCGAGGATAGCCTCCTTCGGAAATGACAGACCACTTTTCGTAGTATCGCAATCTCTCAAGGGCTCCCTTTTCGCTGACAGATCTTGTCTCGCGCAGTGCAGGGTCCATACCCAGTATGAGGACATTTAAAGATTCCGACAAGTCAATGAAAAATCCATGGTAAAATCTGTACATGAGATACAAAGTCATGGCTAGACTTTGAATGCATGCAGCCATTAAAACAACATACCAACCCCACTGTATGTTCACAAATCTTGGAGGCGGGCTTTCACCGGTCCTGAACAGGGTCTCGAAGTCTTGGGAATGGGCCGGGAATTCTTGCACCGCAGTCGGATTGGAGTAATTCTACTCAACATCAGCTTCGCGACTGACGAAGTATGTCTGGAAAGTACCTACTGTAGAGATGTCAAATGGTGCATCTTGCATGCTTTTAATCAATGTCCAAGCTGACAATCCAGCAAGAGTTCTCGCTAGATTCAGGCGCTTATCGTCAACACTGGTTGCTATTGCTCTCAAGTGCCAGTCGAGGACTTTCTGGGACATGGAAAATGCAGCAGGGTCCACATTCTCGTTATCTAAAGACAGGCTATGCGCCCACCTGCGCGCGACTTTTGCCCAGCTTGGTAGCCCCTGTGCTGTAGCACTGGAATGGGTTTTTATATGCGCCATCTCATCGTGAGGATCCTCGCAGTGAGCTTCTAGAGTACTCGTAGACCCATTGACGTTGTATCGCGAACTGCAGGAAGGCGTCGCAAAGGCGTTCATCCTGCAAAGAATGAAGGACTCGAGAGGTTCCGACCCGCTAGATTGGCCGACATGGCTCAAAACAAAAAGTGCATCCTCCCTGGAGTTCTCCGCTACGTCACTGATGACCCTTCCAGAGGGGCCTGGTAAGGTGAAAACTGGAAGAATTTCGGATTGGGGCCTTCCATTCGCTTTCCATCCGAATATACCATGCAAATCAGTGTTGTTCGCCGGCATGAACTTGTGTGCATTGTCTCGCGAATTGTCGTGGGCTGTAAGAGGTACCAATTCGGAGGCATTCAACGTGGCACAGAGAACGTTCGTGGCCAAAGAAGGAACAGAAGCATGCAGGGAAATCTCTTCGGTGGAGCCAGATACCTCGGTACGAAGGATGGTGTTGACTGCAAGAACAACGCCTGGATGAGGTAGCGCAAGCGTCACGTTATTGACCGTACGATGATACGCCTGGGATTGTGCTGCTTCGTCTATAACGTCGATCCATTGGCCGATAGTTGTGGTATTTTGATGTATCTCAAGAGCAGGAAGGTATTCCCCGAAGGTTTGGGAAGTTTTCCGCTGCGATTCGTCAAACCCTAAAGCCTTTTCTAGAAAATACTGGTAGGCAGTAGCCAATGCTTCATCTTCGAAACAGGTGTCATTGCCGGTGCTTCCAAGAATTGGTACACAACGACTGGTTATGTATTGCAAGTCAGCAAAATCCGTCTGGACAGGAGCTGTAAGCATTCTTCGCTCCCAGTGGTACTGCGGGTTTCGAGGCGGACCAGGTTGTACTGCTCCTCAGTCAGTGATTGTGACCGCAATAGACAAGACTTACAGACATAGAGTTAGTGCTGCAGGACTATAAAGAATGGCAAATACAGCGGTGATTAGACTTGCGAGACCTATGGAGCTCCATGTTCTGCCAAGATCCAATACCCATCGCCGCGAGACGAGAAGGCTAGGCTGAAGCGGTATCCTCCACGCCTCTAGTTCAGCTAGCCTGACCCCAGCGCGCGTGTTCTGACTAAATGCCCTGGCACTGAGTCTTTGCCCGATGTATATAGTAAAAGAGGTAGTGAAAGCGAGCTCGCCCATCTTGACGAGGAACGCATCAGACACTATACCACTGGCCGAGGTGAATTCATCAACCAGACGTCGCTTGATGGTGAGTATGATTATCGTACTGGTCAGGATCGTTGAGCAGAGACAAAGGAGAATGTTGCAGATACTGCTCCAGTTTTCGTAAGCTCGACGTAGGCAGCGACTAGCGAAGATGCCAATCAGACTCGCCGAATCTATACAAGCTCGACGTACGCTTCGACTATTAGTTTTGCCGTTCCTGGCATATTCACTTGAAAACATTGGCTGCTCGGGAAGTGGCACATAACCAGGATCACTGCCAAAAGCCATACGTCGAGGCCGTCGGGGATGTGATGGCAGATTAGAGATTGATGGATCGAGATTTCTCTCGGTACTTGAGCCTGAAGAAGAGCCGCGTGGCCTGTTGAGAGCATCTTCTCTATGGCCTAGTTCCGAATGCTCGAAGCAGTCAACAGCGTGCGTCCGTGAGGGAAGCAACGGTATTTTCGTTTCCAGAGCCGACAAGCCTCCTGCAAGATCCCCGAGTTCTGGAAGAGGGCAGTCTTCAGAAGCCACAGACGACGGTGCAGAGACCGTAGTACAAGGCTTTGAAGTGGGTTCTCCAATAATCACTAGAGGAGACCCCAGCCTCTTGTTCCGCGTTGTAATGTCATCTTCAGTAGCAACTCGGATGGTTGTGCACTTGAGTGCAATACGAATGTCCTGGAAGACCTTGTCTATGGTGATCATGTGTGCGTACGGTTCGGTTCCATACACCGCTAACACGACACCACAAAGACGATCTCCCTGAACGACCCAGCTTCCGGATACGCCTTTCGCTAAGTTTGTCATTAGAACATGTCTCGGGTTCTAATATTGAAGTACGTACGCAGGGGCTCCCTGAGTTCAATCTTCCTTGTTTGAAATAACGCGTCCTTGATCCTAAAGCTTGCGGGTCCCCTCAATAGATATCCGCAGACCGTTTGATACTTTCCGGTCAAGATGAAAACCTCGCCAGCTTTAAGATCTGCATCGTGGATTACGTCGTTAAGGTGGAACATTCCGTGGCCTACGATGTCTTCGTACATATAATCGAGATCCGGAACAAAATTCCATATCAACGAGAGCGAAGTCAGAATTGTTCAAAGAGTGATAATCAGCTTGTGCGCGACTATGAATGTCGGTTTTCCCGCAAAAGCAGGCCAGTCCGCCGGCAGGGATATCTCTCCATCGGATCTGATGGATGACTTCGGCGCACTGATTCGAGTCAGCGTTTGCATCGGCTACAGAGGCGTCCGATGACTCCGAATCCGAACCGAAAAATTCAGACTCATACTCAGAGGATGATTCTGAGGGAATCGTATGCGTGACCGTGGGCAGATCTGGAGGAGCTATAACTCCATGACCCGTGGTGAGGCCATAGATCTTCTCGTCGATCTTGATCAAACCACCAATCGTGGAGATTGATTGAATATTCACTCCACTTATGTTCGTCTCTATTCGTAACTTCAAGCCGCAAGCGGAGTCTTCGGGAAATAATTCCTGTATCCACCATTTCTGACGTATCCACCAGTCGCTCATTGCTCGTGGCGCTTTCCGTCTTTCTTCGCGCTCGTGGTGATGCTCCAGCTGAATCTTGTATAAAGATTCTATTTCGGCCTCGCGCTGTGCCTCTTCTTCGTCTGTAGATACATCTTCGTAGTAGGGCGTTTGCGTATCAGACTGAGGAAGCATACTTGCAAGTTGTGGGGCCCCGAGCCTTACTTCTACTCGGCCGAAGCAGAAAGAGGCGAGGTAATCGAGGTCTTTGACAGCCCTTTCGAATTCCTTCCGACACCCCTTACTTTTGCAGCGAATGCATACAGTGGGGTTGAGTTCAACAACCTTTTCTTTCCTGACGACGCCTGCCATACATAGCTCGGCTTCAAAGCTCTCATTGGGAGTCGACCAGCTACAAACTGACTCGAGGTCGCTCATGAGCCTGGGTTTGATGACTTCTTCCCACTTTGTCACTAGGTCGGCATCACAGGGCAGAGCCCTCGGTTGACCGACGAAGAGTTTTGCCTTGGGCAGCCTTCCAAATCGTACTTTCTTGTCCCAACACTCAAGAAATGTCGATGACACGTCTAAGCTGACACTTTGTTGTGGCGCGTGCGTATCGGATGCGATGATAGCCGTGTCTAGTCGCTCCCCTTCACGGAGACGGTCCGCAACCGCGTCCAGCATTGAGTAGGTATCAGTCTGGTTTCGTGGGAGTACAGGACTGCTTCCATCAATCTTCGAAACACAGCCCTGGACCTGCGACTCAGCAAAGGATTTTGCGGGGGTATATGCTCTGCTATCGAACGATGGAACCAACTCGACATGGCGATTCGCAGAGTTGCCGACTGCTTTCCCATGCTGCTTGCTCGTATGGATATCCTGGGAGCATGTCCTGAGAAGTAGTAACTCGTCCAGTGCTGCAAAATCATGCTCTGAAGCGGACAATGGCGTGAGTGGGGGGGGTGAGAGGCTGAGCGGGGCGATATTGGAGTTGGCTTCGTTTTCGAATCGAGTCAGGATGCGCGCGTGCGAGTGCCTCGGTCATCGTGCAGGTACGATAGCATGTCAGCCTGCTATACTCGAATGACCGTAAGCGTAGTTCGATCGAATGGTAAAGCTGTGCGAAGTCAACATAAGAATATAAGGTTATAGCTGATTGTTTGAGGGCTAGGGGATGCCATGGCGAAACATATCATGCAAGGCTATCGCGGGGCTTTCGCTCGAGCCTTGCCAAGCATGGCCTGCATTCACCGGTTCCAAGCCCAGTGAACGAGGCGCAGCGCAGGCAAGACGGCCAATCAATTATCATAAGCCACTTTGCCTCCTTCCTTATGTCGTACAGCTGATGGATCGACTTAAGCGGGGCCGGAGGGTTCTCCTGGGTTTCGTTGGGACCTTGTCTTACTCCGCTGCTTTACAAACACCACGATCATGTTTACTACAAAAACGATCCTTGACGATCTTTGTACTGCCAACAGCCCTGCCAAGCTTGGTCTCGTTTGCGAGATATGGCCTGATGCTGGACTGACGCCCGGAGTCTTCGCAGAAAACGAGTATGTGTCGTTTTTTGAATACATTCTGCAAGAACTTTCAAACATGAACCGACACCGATCGGTTTTCGCGGCCGAAAGCTTAGAAGGGACCATAAATCTTATCGCTCTTTTAAGAAAGAGTGTTGACGAGCCACTGCATGTTGTGTTGCAAAAGCTGAGGGAGTCGTTTCCAGAGGTGGATCACTCTGCTCTTGTCAAAACTCTGGAGCTATCTACTCGACTCTGGCTCACTACCAAGGTCAAAATAAATGGTAGTAACTCGGTGTCACTGCAACCGGGTTTTGGAGCAATCGAATGGTTTGCAGAGATCTCATTGAAAGAGGCGTTGCAGTCACGCTTTGCCCGTATGGATCCGGTAGGAACAATGGAGAAGGATTCCAGCCCAGGCCTGGATCCAAGCTTCACAGCATCCGCACTCGTCGACATTTGTGGCATCAAACTCTTGTGGACTTCTAATCTGGTGGACCACCTGCGTCTCGACAAGAGGCATCGCGTCCTGACAGTGTATGAGCACAAGATCTGTCTGCTCAATCATACAAAGGGGATCAATTCGCCTTTCCCGCTTGATCTTCTGCAAGAGACCATAGATACACTGAACCTGCTCTTCCCTTTCGGTCATGGCCCAACCCGCGAACTACTTCGACGAGAGAACAAACTCGCCTTATACGGCTTGGGTACTTGCAACAGAGACCGTCGATTCAAGCTTGACAATTATCGAGCGTGGCGGGTGCAGATAGCGGGCCTGATCGGAGTGTTCAACGAGCCACCTCACAGTATGTGGCAGTTACTCAGCGATCGAAGGGATTTGAAAGAATGGGTAACGTTTTGGATCGGTGCAATGGTGTTGGTTTTGACGGTAGTGAGTATCGTGACTGGGACTGTAAGCTCGGTATATGCGGTCAAACAGTACAACCTCGCCCGCGCCCAAGCTTGTGCTGCCTGTGCCATGTGAGACGCTGAGAGGCATTTCCGGTCGACACTACATATACCTCAGAGGCGCCTACGTTCACGGAGAAAGAGTTGGAGGACTTCACACTAGGACTTTTTAGAGACAGCTCGAGAGGGAACTTGCGCAAATTGTGATACAAGAGGGAGCAATTCGAGGTGGGCGATGACGGAGCTGATGGAGGCTAAATTTGGATGACTACACATGGAAAACAACTTTTTGTCGGATGGCACATTTTCTTAAATCTTATCTTCTCTTACTCTTCTGCGTGTTGGAGGTTCCCAATAGAAGAAGAAGTGATGGTGAGCGTTGGAAGCAATTGTCGGACGTTCGAATTGTTGAAAATCCCGAGGTCCGTTTCACCTAATCAGCCCCCAGCATCCCCAGGGTAGTGCAGCTATCGCGATTGACAAAGATCTTTTGACTAATGGACCACCTCCGAAATTCGTTCTCGGCACCACTTGAGCGACATAAGATGTCACTTCTACCAAAGATGGTTGCCTCGGCATTGAGGCATCCGCAGCGTGAGAACGATAATCCCGGAGCATTCTTTCGACGATCAGTCCTACCGTCACTGACACATTCCGGCCAGTACAGCAATCGAAATCACGCTTGGGGACTGCTGGTCGCGCAGATTGTCAGCACAGATGCGGTTATTTCATTCCTAGTAGGGTGATGTAGCTTCACACAACCTTGATCAAAGTTGTAGCGGAAAGAAGAAGTCTGAGCTTCAGCAGGGAGTCAAGGTTTCTCCGAAACTCCCGACATCTGTTTCCGAGGCCGGAGCTGCCATCGCGAAGGCCGTGAACACAAAATTACTTGGGAGTGGAAACATGCATGCAGCACCTTTGGACATGTTCGATTATACGTTCACCCAGTGATTTGACTCGTGTTAGAAGATCTAAGTTTCACCAAAGGCATGCCAAGTGCACTCTTGCTTGAGCCTACGTCAGACTTATATAAGACTGGATATTTGACGTTACATTGGTCTGCATTGCCTGGTACGTACACAAGGAAATGTCTGATAGAAGCCAAGCAAACCTTGCACAACTATATTCCTGCGCTAGGGTACAGATTGATTGACCAAACGATAAACTTCCGGTCGATCACGAGCACTTAGTGCACGCACAGCCTAAGGAACTGGACTTAGCATCGACCGGGTTCTTGTGGTAGAACATTCAACTTAACTTACCTCTGTCTGCGTAACCCTGCCCGCTGCAGCAGTCATTGAAGTTGGTGGTCACCACTGTTCAAGGAACCGTGGTCAGCTGACTTTCAAGACACTTGAAGCTGTTGGATATAACTCACCGCCTGCGCCGAGGCATCGTTTCTCGACGAGACCTTCGGCTGCGCCAACGTTCTCTATGGAGGGGGCAGCCATTACGGCGGCGAAGAGAATGAATAGAGCGGCAAATGCGACTTTCATGATGGCGGTGGTTGACAATGTATCGTGCGAGGAAGGTTTCGAAAAGGTATGTGGATTCAATATTTTAGTCGTTGTGTATTTGCTTAATGTCTTTCAACCGTTGGCTTGACCTCTTTATATACTGTGCTGGTACCTGAAACAGTCAAGTGTAGAATGCCAACATTGTGGAGTCAGTGTATGTCGATCATCTCGGGTCCCTCCAACTCTGACACCGCGAGAATTAAGAAATAGGCTGTGTAGCCTAATGACGACCACTCATGTGACCTCGTAGACACCGTTCTACGTCGCTTGAAGCTGGGTTTCCTCGGCGGGCTGATGCTCGTAGTCGTCCAGGTCTGCCATTCGATGGGTATATAGGTCTTACACGTCACAGTGGGGCCAAGTAGTGGCTAACAACTGTAATATGGATGCACATTGCGAGTCTAAGCCCTTGGTATGCCGGAAGGTCATAACCACTACTTGACCAGGATGAGGCATGCACAACGCAACAAGTAAAGACGAGTGCAATAGCGGGTCTCGGATCTGACATTCTTTTGCTATGGGTCTATTGGGTCACAGCCTGGCTTAAGTCTTATAGTGTAAGCTTGATTTATGTAATGCAATCCTCAATGTACGTTTTATACGCTCTTTTTGGAAGTCCTTGCTATTAACGGTCATGAAGATTATCCGAAACGGTCCGATGGGCTGAAAGTGGTTGTGATTTTCAAAGTCGACTAAGCGCTAATGCTTCACGCTACCATCCTGCGTTGAGTACAACAATCTCACAAACCTCAAAAAGCGGTAGGTCGGAGGTATGCATGGATTACGGCGCTTTTATTGTGCCCCATGGGGACACGAATCACAGCTCCGCATTTCTCACATCTCTGTATGGGCAGCCGCAGGGCAGCGGCTCCGTTACTACCGTCACTGCGTCCATTTATCAGAGAGCACCAGATGCAGAGGTTTAGCACACGCAGAAATATTTGTTTATTTTCGAAGCCCATGATTCTAGGGAGATGTACCTCTTCTCCAACGCACGTCTGCTTGTCTCGACCGCCTCACCATCCGAGCTCTTTTGCTATCGCAGCAGCCAGAACCGGCGCCTCGGCGGCATTGGTGGCGATATTCGGATGATAATCGCATCCCACGTCTGATCCCTGAGTAGGCCAATCCACGACATGAACCTTTGTGCCATTCAACTGGGCGGCTGCATCAGTGAAAGCTTTCGTCTGTGCTGTGTGTTGTGCTTCTCCCGCAGGGTAGCTATCGCCTAGCATAGGAGATGTAACAAGGAAGAACTGTGCAGCGGGATAATGCCCCTGGACGGTGCGAATGAACGAGGCTGTCGCTGACGTAAAGTTGCCTACGTCAAGCGCCTCACGGTTGCCGTCATTGCTGAAGTCGTTGGTACCGAGAGCAATCACAACGGCGTCGGGTGTTTCGCTGGCTGGGAAGGTATAGCTGTTGTCGGCGTCTTGGGCCCCGTACTTTGTCCAGCGACTCGTCATCGTCACGTCGCCTGGAATACCATAGGCAGTGTTACGTACAAGGCCTATGCCGCTCCACGCGACAATGTCGTATTCTGCCTTCAAAGACTCGGCGGCCAGAACGGCATACGTATTGGGGTTGTCTTCAAGTTCAGCACTGTTTGTACAAGGGAAGACGCCATCCATGCCGTAGCCGACCGTAATTGAGTCGCCTATGAACTCGATCTTCCGGTTACGTCTGACATCTGGCCCGAGAGTCCCGTCGGTCGTAACGTTGCCGACAAAGATGCTTCCGTACAACGCTTCTGATCGCTTCCGTAGCTCAACAGTATGATTGCCATTCGCTAATCCGGCTGGTGTTGAAATGCTCGACCCATTGACATTCGGTATGATAGTAGACTTTCCATCAACTGTGAGCAGAACACTGTTTGTACCTGCAGTATGAACCAAATTAGCCACACGATTCATGGAAAGCCAGGTGATCCTCAATAAACATACCAGTCACCGACTCGAAGCCAACCGTTGCAGAGGATCCTGTGAAGCTAAAGGACACTCCAGTGCCTGCCCATGTTAACTCCCTTGTTGCGGGGTTCACGCGACCAAGAAAGCGGACAGCTTGCGCGATGTCCAGTATTGCCAGCGACAAAGTGATTGCGCAGAATTGCTTCATCTTGAGTAGGTAGAACGATGTAAGTAGGCAGGACACCGAATGACACTGACTTATACTTTATATTTCCCCATGTTGACGCACCTACGATCGTTGCAAGATCGTCGAAATTAAGACCGGGGCAACGCATTGATCGTTAGCAGCCTACGGATAGATTGCTTCCATCTACAAACCGAGGCTAATTTTGCTAGCGGCGATACATTTCCCCCAGTCAGGAACGGAGGAGCAACGTGAATCGCGCGCTACCGGACTGCCTTCCCGTGTTTCAGTGCTCTCCGTGACGCCGAAGCACGCATGATGTACATTTCCAGCACTTCAAACCGGGCAGGCGGCGTCTTTGGCGCCAAGGTGAAGTAACGTTTTCTTGGTATGAGCGCGACGAACCTTATTAGTCGCATAGAATCATGTCTAGATCATATATAGATGGACGAAGCTGCATGCAATCCCTCGCATCCATCCGTGCATAGATTGATTGTTGCTAGTTTGGTAGTGTTGATATCCACAAACGATTCGAGCAGGTCGACGGTGGCATTTGAACGCCCGAGGAAACCACGTGACGCAAACTGGAGCTAGGACCAAAAGAGGCTAAAACAGGTTACTAAGGAATTACGTTTGCGACTTCTCCCCTAAACATCTAACCTTCCACTATGGCAAGTTACCATCATAGTTCATCACAGGCTTCTAGTAAAGCTTAGAGGTCCTGTGGGTTAAAGCAAACCCATGACCGTAGCTGTACCTCCTTTTTCCAATACTGAAACACCTTTCGCCTTCTCCGCGCTTGTTTGATAGACAAAGCTTTATGTCAACGTAAACGTCGGACATACAGTATCAGGGCACCACTTTGAACACTAAGTATAGAGCGAGTTACCCTAAGATACAATATTTTGTGGACAATATACTAACGCTTTTTAGCAAGCCTATGATTGAGCTTCATCTGGGTACGAAAGACAAGGACATAAGAGGCCACAATTATTCACCTTGACATAACGTCAAAACGAATACGAGCCACAGAATATATCAATGGAATCCACCGCTACTGCAAGAATGTCGAAAACCTTCAACGATTTAAGCGTCGACCTGGTCTACGTCATCTTCTCTCATCTCTGGCCGGAGAAAACTGACTTGTGCAACCTCGCCTTGACTTGTCGACCATTCCGTGATATCGCGCAACGCTTCATCGTCCGGGACACTTCGATATCCCACAGCGTCAATGGCTCACGCACTAAGCTGTTCCTCCGAACATTGATGGAACGCCCAGACCTTGTTGTTCACGTACATCGACTGGAACTCGACCTCCTCCGGGAAGATATCCACTGGCCAGAGGAGCAGCAAACCATCCACCAGATCACCCGTCTGCTCACAAACTTGCGGGAGTTCTGCTACCTCTCCCGCGACTACAAAGCTTGGCATTACAGCGTACCGCTGCCCCTGAAGTGGACACGTGAACACGCTCACGACCAGGTTCGCAGGGTGGAGTGGCATCACAACATGGCTCCTTGGGAACTTCGAAAATGCATGGAACTTCCCAGCATCGAGACGATCCGCGTACGGGAGCTCCAAGACGATTCGTACGGCCGCTTCACGTCGTTCGACCTCCCTGCTCGCAAACATCGGACGTCCTCGCTCACCGAGCTTCGCATCGGCTCACCTGGCACTTTGGCGTCCGAGGCCTTGGAAAAGCTCCTGCACATGCCAAGAAGCCTCAAGAAGATCACCTTTGAGTCTCGCAAGGAGTATCAGTCCGTGCTACAGCCAGCTGGCTTAGTGTTCCTGCTCCAGCCAGTCCGGGATTCTCTGGAAGAGCTGCACGTGGAGATACGCGACAACTTATTCCCAGCCTCTACACAGGCCGCGGACCTATCAGGATTCACATCAATCAGGAACCTGACCTTGCCGTTTCGATACATTTTCGGACCAGGAGCCGCGGCTCCGTTGTTGAGTGCTGCGACTTTTCTTCCCCCGCATTTGAGCGAATTGAAGGTACGTTGCCCGCATGCTTCAACCATGGTGAGTGTTTAGAGGTCAAACGTGCTAATGTCGATCTAGATCTTGTTTGTCTCTACAAAAGCGCCTGTTCCCGCGTCAACGGTATCAACACTGGCTGATAACCGCAAAGCTCTTTCTCTCTTCATAGACAGTGTAGAGCAGCAGGAGGAAATGCCTCGATTGCTACCGGAGCTGAGATGCATCACATTACAAGGAAATGGAGACCATAAGAGCTATCGTCCTGATTTGGAGCCCGAGAGCCTGAGAGGTGCGCTGGAAACATGCAGTTTGTCCAGGCTCAGTGTGGAGCGCTGCTTTTAAAGACAGTCGATATTATTAATGTTCAGGTACTTACAGTACTACGTCAAGGTTTGGGAAATGCATTGCTCATCCTGGGGTAGCATAGGGCATCGAAGTATTGACCGGACAGTGTATATTGAGGGTGTGCACAACACATCCAGATACGCGCGTATTGGCGTAGATGGCCTACATATAACAGCGACATAGTCAACTCCAAATAGACTCGTTGCGCGGAGCATGAGAAGGTTGGAAGGGTATATTGAGCCAGCTAAAGTCCTCTTTCGCTAAAAGTACCGCCTGCGCCTCGACGCAGCAGCAATCATCAGGACCTAATCATAAAGGTCTATATGACCCGCACTCTGAATGTATATAATCCTACAATGAACAGAAACCACCTCCTTAGATATGGAAGCGACATGATCGGAATCTGCGGTGTCCTCCGCGCCTTCATATCCTTACTCCGAGCCATCCTCAGGCAATTCCGCAATGACGCTCTCCACCATGCCAATCAGCTCATCAACATCCGGCCTCTCCCCCGGCTCGACCTTCAAGCATTTTCTAACCACCTCTTTCACGTTCTCGTTTATGCCTTCACCCTCTGCCGGCTTCTTTGCTGCTCTGCCCTCATCTGGAAACCTCCAATCGCCACCGAGTACGCACATACTCAAACTACCACCCGTCTCGTCGCTACGCGCCTCGAATGGCGATTTGCCGACTAGGCATGCATACAGCATGCAGCCCATACTCCAGATATCCACCTTTGTATCGATGACAGAGCCGGTCTTTACGTCGAAGAGTTCTGGCGCGCGGTAGGGCATGGTAGAGTGTTCGGCGGCGGTGTCTTGGACTTGGAGAGCGAGGGAGCGCGATGTTATCGGAGTTGGTGAGGGCGCAAGGGAGCCAAGGTCCATGAGGATGGGTGTTTGGCCATCATCATCTATCATGACGTTGCCTGTTTGTGTTAGCTTTTCTCTGCTTTCTCGTCCGAACGAGAAACATACCAGGCTTAATATCTCTATGCGCATACGCCCTCTCCCCGCCTGGTGCGATACCATCCTGCGCCAAGCTTGCCTCGCCGCTCTCTAAAAGTCCTTCGCCCTCGGCTTCGTCATCGTCGTCGTGTTCTCTGTGTCGCCGCATTTCCATCGCCTCTGCAGCCTCGGCATCCGCGCGCGCCGCATCCTTCCTCACCTTCTTCGCCTTGCCCTCGCTCCGCGCACCGCCCGGCCCTTCCCTCACCCTATACTGATGCATCGTCTTGAGGGCCTTGCACACACCCAGAAATAACTGCATAAGCCTCTTCTCAGGGAATTTCGTGTGGTTGACGAGATTCGCATTGATCATATCCTGCAGATTCCCTCTCCTATAGTACGGCAGCAGGATATAAACTGTTTTCGCGCTCGGATCTGACTTGTCGGATGCGACGCTGTAATCGATCGAGCGAATGATATTGGGATCCGGCGAGAAGAGCGAGTAGGCTTCTACTTCCTTTAGGGCTTGCGAAACGGATTCTTGGCCGAAAGGACAGCGGATCTTTTTCAGAGCGAAGAGCTGCTGGTTGGAATTGTCTTGGACGAGGTATACGTAGGAGAAGCCGCCCTGTACGCGCAGGGTTAGAAGATATGTGAGAGGGGAATTAATGGAGGGCTTACCTCGCCGAGCAGCCGCAGTATCTTGAAGCTGCGGCTGTTTATCTTGAGTTGCGGCGAGCCGGGGAAGCACACCATGCAATTTGTGAAGGAATATATGACATCGAAGAAGTAGGATTGTAACGACATCGCGGCGGTTGTGTGGGAGCTATGCGTGGGAGAGCTGTTGGTGTTCAGGACAGCTATGCGGAGCTGCTTATCGACCTCCGCGCGGCCAAGGGATGCGCGACACCAGCAGACGAGGTGTGTTACAAGCGATGGGAAAATGGCACGTGTTGAGCCAGTGAATGTAATATCTCAGCGTATGAATAGTAGGTAAGTTTGTCGTGAGCTGGAGCTGCGCAATGGGTTCGGCGAAGCTGAGAGGTGGTTCGTTGTACGTCCACGGGTGCCAAGATGAATGTGGCTGTGTTTGTCAGCCACGCGTCCCGACTTCGCGAGTGCTCGCAACCAAGCACCCCTCAACTAGCATTGTATCGAGACGACTCTTTCGCAACATTGGTCTTTCCGAGATTTGAGGGTCGTGAGTATGCTAGAGGCCATGATGAGACGAAAAGCAGGTTCTTTCTACGAGGTAGGGCGTCACCAAAAGGCATGTTGAAGGCAACTGGCAAACATGCTGTCGTATCGGACCTGTCTGATAGGCCGGATAGCTTGGGAATGATTTCGGCTTGGAAAGGTCATTGTTGTCAAGGCGATGTGTCTGAGGTGCAGTGTCCCATTGTATCAAGGTTTTTTTTTCCCTTGACATATTTCCAACGCGAGAGCTGAGGAGCCAAAAATAATAATAATGTGATCTGGTCATTGCCTGTAGTATGAAACAATGTGATCCTGAAACCAGCCTCCATCAAAACTTAGATCATCGCCCTTTCTTCTCCAGATATCGCTTCGTATTGGTGATAAGTATCGACAATCCAGGACGGACTGTCAACTCAGACTATGCCTATCATATCGATCACACGTACATCTTAATTATTAACTCACGTGCTGCGCCCGTAGGTGCTGGTGCACTGTTCATTACTAACCTTGCAGTACCCAAGAACGCCTCCTGTCCATCCATGGGGAATGGTTCACATACGGCTTTCAGCGTCCGTCGTGAAAATACCTAGGTACCCACCTGTATTTCTCATCGCGCACCTGTTGAGATTATTACACAGTTCGAGATCCCTTCTTAGCATACATATAGGGCTATCGATGTATACCAAATTTACGTTGCATGTTCTGTGATTCTCTCAACGCCTCGGTTATGGGATGTGGAGTGCGGAATGTGGGTCCGGAAGAATTCCACAAGCGAAGACAGATAATCTACAGCTTGGGTAAATTGCGTAAGCTAGACCCCGCTTTGAGGGTTCGAAATTCGAACCCTTTGAATGGTAGAGCTTGTATACAGTGTACTATATTTATTTTTTATTTTCACAAATACCCAATCATATGAAAGCAAAAAATGGCCGCCTGGCGCAACGGTAGCGCGTCAGATTCCAGTCTCTTGGAACCTCCTGAAGGTTACCTGTTCGAATCAGGTGGTGGTCATTCTTTTTCTAAAATTTTGCTCCTACATTTTGCATCCAAGACCTAAACCTACACTTTTCAACACGCTATCGTAACGACATTGTAAGGGACGATAGAAATGTTTGGGTATGAATCAAACGGTAAGCATGGAGTAAGACATCTCACTGATGTGATTCATGAACACGACATGAACTCTATGTGAACAGCTCGCTCACTACGTTCCGGCGAATCAGGTTTTTTTTTTCGTACCCGACTTGAATTCAACACGGGGCAATATTTCTAAAGCTTATTGTGGAAGAAACACAACTTCAGATGGTGTAAGATTGATCCTTTGTATCGACTAACAGTGTGCAGCACTTTGAGTAGAGCAGAAGAGTTAAGCCAGAGCCTTTCAGTCGCTCAAAAAATACGATCGTGGAGCTAATCGTGGAATGTTTCAATTTTAATCGGCCTAGGTTCCCTATATCGGGGAGTACTGATTCGTGACAATTAGAAACAGGCCAGAACGCCTCAAGAACGTAACAGGCGCGAGATTTTCCAAATCAGGTTCTCGGATTATCGAGGTTGAGGGGAAGGTCGCGGAAGAGGAGATGAATACATCAGACAAGTGTTCGTGACGATAGGAAAGAGACTGAAGAGGGAGGAGCACATCATCTTATATGATGACAAAGTCTTCCAAAGGATCTGTTGGTTCGGGGTCATGAACGTGATGCCTTTTGAAGACCTTTACAGCTTCTCCTTGCATATAATCCTGAACATAGCATTCTCCCAATAGCGTCCATTGCTCTGCTTTACAGGGGCGGAGAACGAAAGGAACAGTGAATCCTAGAAGAATGCATATCCAGTCGCCCTGTTGGGTCTCTTTTGGTACTAGGCCTGTTATCCCATCGGCGCTTACGAGTTCAAGGTATTGGTCTAGCGGACGCGCTCCAGACAGGGCATAGCCTATGTACAGCCACTCATTCCTGTGGTAGTCGTTCAGCTTTCGCAGATCGGTCAAATCCGCGTGAGCTGCAGCCTGTCCAGCATTTGGAGAGCAGGTCGACACTTGTGTGAGCCTCAAACCTCTGACTTTGATGACGTGATGACTGATAATTCGAATATTCGTCTGCCGAAAGGAGGCAAAACCAGCCGAGCTACAGGCCGCGAAGACTCCATCGGTACGACCAAGTGCATCCTGGTGAAATTTGCGACGCCAATCTATAGCCCAGCTCGGGATTTTCCCTGTATCATCGCACGTCGCAGCTGACAGAACTCTGGCGACTCCATAGGATAACAGGAATCTGGAAATATTTGTGTAGAGCTCGTCAACGCTACACAAATAGTCCGGCTTCAAAGCTTCTGGCAAGCCATTCGCGAACAGAGATACCAGAGCGAAGAACTTGTCTCTTGGATCGGTGCACTCGTAATGAGCTGTAGCGCATAGCACGTCGAAAAGATAGCCCGGGTTCAGGAGACTTGTGGAGGTGATGAGGTTCAAGGCGCTCGCTGGCGTTTTCCACAATACGCTTTTTTGAAGAAAGTCACGTCTTGACGGATGTAAAATGCTCTGATCCCACTCCTGGTAGCTTCCCGTGTTGGACCCGCGAGAAAACTCGGTTTTTAAGGTAACGACGCCTTGTTCGTGGTGCCAATAGCCTCTTGAAACGGCAAGTTTGGAGTTCCACATGCCCAAAATGTCGAAGTTTAGCTCTTCATGGCCGATCTGATAACAAGGTTTGTTGAAAGCAGCGCTTCCTGAATCACCCAAGTACGCCTGAAGAATAATCGTTTGAGAAGCGCGGAAGCATGTCTGTGATCCTGCGGTGGCACTTCCTTCTCAAGTATTGTTGGCCAGTCAGAAATTGGGGTTTTGCCCCACGCCATGACGGCTCGAGAGTGATCGTCGTGCTCACCAATATACGCAATGGTGCGCTTCGCAATCCGGTAGATCTTTCCCATGAGACGCACTTGTTCACTTCGTTCGTGTTTGTCGCCTTGATTGATACAAAGACCATCAATCCAGATGCGGTCGTTGCCAGTGGAGAGAAGACTGCGTAGGACTTGCTCGCAGTTCGCTGTTACGAAGGCTCGTCCGCCTGTGTCGGCATGTTGGATTGCATTTTCGCGGATACGGCTTCCCCAGGTGTACGAAACTGCCTCATAGTCGAGTGTCTCGTCCAGGATCTCATGGGAGAGCCGGAAAGTGGCTTCCCCATGCTCAGCCTTGCACAACTGCAATACTCGAATCTCGTTCGGTCTCAAAGGTTTGTACTGGTAGTTTGCAGTCGTCATGTTTGGTCTCCTGTTGTTCTAAATCACTCTTATTGGATACGCGGGGTTACAGAAGCTGAACTTGCCAACGCAAGCACGGTGGTGAGAGGCGGTGGGGGCGGAGCATCGAGTCTGAGGCTTGGCTGCAGAGCTCAGCTACCGTGTCTTATGACCACACCAGGTCGTCCTGCTACGCTGATATTATCTTTGCATCTTACTGTATGAGATTCACGCGCTTCCGTCGCATACGCGAGGCCACCAAATTTAACACGATGGTGCACATTCACTCTAGGGAGTTACGCGAGCAGTACATGGCGTTTGTGCTATATTGCACCTAAAATACGTGCTTGGTGTACCACCGACGAATTTTGCGATCGCTGTATTCAAGCCGATGTTGCCTATATAACAATTTAGGCGAGATTAATGGCGATTTGGTGAACTGCAGAGCTTCTCGTTCATTGCAGGAAGCAGAGGGAATATTTGTCCCGAAAACAATGGGTCGAATCTTCGAGTCAGCATTACATTTGCGCCAATTGTACCTTGAATGGTCTCAGCCGTGAGCCATCGTTCGTAGTAAGAAAACATAGGCGTAGTTGTGATCAGTGTAATCAGTGGTGTACAATTTCGTTTAGATCTGCTGTGTTTTCGTGCAGGGCAGTCCTATTCGCTCAGACTAGTCTTGCCCTTGAAGGTTACTTCTTCGAATCATGTGGTGGCCATTTCGTTCTTGATCTTTTTTTTTGTCCTTCATCCCGATGCGTTGCAATGTAAAGTTTCAGACGGTAATGGGCGCACCTTTGGCTCAGAATTATCTTCCTGAGAAAGCTTTGCTCCGAACATACACCGTCAATATTGCTAAAGACCAGGAGCTTACTGTACGTGGCTGATCCGAGGTACTGATAGCATTGAAGATGCAGTGGTTCAAGCGTACGCAAAAGCGCTACAAATGAAACGCGACTTACAAACTCAGCAAGACAGAACTAAAACGTAAAAAGGAAGATCTAGATAGATACTTAACGAAGGAAACAAAGATAACGTACGCTAATACCCAGTGTGTAGCGACAAGGGATGTCAAAGAAACCGATCGGCCCGGACAGTCATCTCACCGGCAACCGAAAATACACGAACATAGAGCCGTTCATATAGCACCTGCTCTGGTCATTATCGAGTTCATCTCTGAAAAGACACACGATACTGAAAGGAGATACATCCAAGAGGCATTGTCGAGCCTTGAACCAAGTCCTAACAAACCCAAAGATATTGATAGTTGCCAGTAAACCGCCTTTTCAGCATGATCATTATAGGAAGTTTGACGGTCGCGATGTTGACGTTGGCGCATCGAGGTGTTTCTGCATCGTTATCTTCCTGGAAACCGACCCTCACGTCGACGAATCGCGATCCTTTCGGGATTTCCAGGGGCTGTAGCTTTGACGATTGCATTCCTACCATTATGGTTAGCAAAGAAGACACTGATCAGCTTTTGAAGGAGCTCACTGCTTATTGAATCTCTTCGAACAGCCTTGGCCTCATTTCGTTGCGTGTCGTACACGTATAGCTTCTTCTCTTTGGCCGATGTTATGTGCTTTTGAGACGATGAATCCAAGGTCGGTGACGCTGGAGGAGATTCGGTCGTCGTCGTCATAGTTGTGATCAGGATCAAGAACGACTTAACGAAAGCGGGGCAGACGCAGAGCCGCATCGAAGCTGAGGGTTCCCGGGCTTTAAACCACGACAACACAGTAAGTGCAAAGCTGAGATGACATGGAACATGCGACGTCAGATGTTCCGATTTTTGACCGGTCTGGGTTGCTATCGGACCCGTATTCGAAATTAGGCGCTGCTACTAAGCCACCAATGCATACTTCGCGAGGAGGGCGACACGCATACGGCCCCTCATGGCCTCCACATGCAACGCCTGCAAAACTATACACCAATCATGAGACGGCCATGTCTGTTACTGCGGTCATTCGATTGTCGCACCCCACCACCACATGGCAAGAAATCTCAGGATGATTGTTTGTGCGACCACACCTTTCGCGTCAGCCCGGGATTCCCTCCACATCTCGCGGGCTATAATCTAGCAGCTTTTAAAACCCATGATATTGTATCAGTGGTTGTAGTTTACACGCTCGTGGTCTACGACTATTCGGAAGAACCTAGGTTGTGCGATAGTATCAGCATACGATCCTATGCAAGGTATTTACGAGAATTTTCAACGACAGTGAGTTGCAGCAATTTCTCACCTGGCGTCTGACGCTCCGTTCAGTCGCCTTCTTCCAACTGCCATATGCGGTCTTTACATACCTTATGAGGTCCCTCAGCCGTCAAGAATAATGCAAGTGGCGTGGTATGATGCCTAATGGAGGCCGGGAGTTGAAAATCACTGGTTTATGAGATGCGATGGCTTGCATGATTGTGTCGGGAAAGTATGGAGGCCGACGAGGCTCTGGTTCAGCCTTCTCCTGAGCATCCTCAGCCTCGCCCACGCGCAAATGATAAAGCACCTTGACCGCGACTGGAGGCATGGAAGACATGAGTGGATCGTGTTCCATACTTTACTGGTTCACATGGCTGAGATCGAACTGAGACGAGTGGAGGTAGCTGGTCCTCCTATTCCCAACCTGAATGCTGAGCCCAGCGAAAGGTCCCCTCGGGCTTCTCCCGGTCCTGCGCTAGCTAGTCATTCCGATCAATCAGAGTCGCACATCGGTGATGGGCCTGCGTATTTGCGGGAAAACCCGGCGTTGCTTAGAACAGACCCATGGCGGCCTATTGTTCTTAGCTTAGGTGCGTTAAATTCCTTATCTCAAAACTCCCATTCTATATGACACTCTCGCTGACCTGGCTGCAGATGGTGGTGGCATAAGAGGTCTCTCCTCGCTATATATTCTCCAACAGTTGATGCAGAAGATTAAAAGCGAAGAAAAAAGGCTGGACGAAGCGCAACATCAAAACCCGGATTCGGATGAGGTTCGCCCCGTATTGACATCAGCTTCTTCGTCTGGGTTGCAAGGTGTAGCCACACGACAGAATGCGGGCGAAGACAGTCAAGACCGAAGACTTTGCCATTACTTCGATTTCATGGTCGGAACGAGCACAGGGGGGTAAGAAAGCTCCTAGAAAGCTTGAGCCATTTCATGCTGATGTAAAAACAACAGTCTCATCGCAATGCTACTTGGAAGGCTACGGCTCGACATTGATACCTGCCTCAAGATCTACGAACAATTAGGAACATATATTTTTGGGCATTGGAGATGGTGGCGCCTGACCAGATACGACCACCAACGATTAGAAGATGCTGTAAAGATTGTCCTCAGAAGATATTGTAAGGAACACCATGAGACTGACCAAGTCGGCTGCGAAGGAGAAGATCTGATGAGACAATACGACTTCTCTCATCTAGACGGTACCTTCAAGAACTACAGCTGCAAGGTGTGAGTTTGTCACTTACTACATCAAATGGAGAGAAAGGCTAACCGGGACTACTCCAGAGCTATGATGGCGTTACGGGAGGGCGATCGAAAACGAGGCGAAGGTGACAAGTGCCACTTATTTCGGAGCTACGACCACGTCGAAGCACCACCGAGAGGGTACAATCTATCCGACGCGAATCAATTGAACCCGGGCAGAGTGCAATCGAATCCCACGATGATCTGGGAAGCATGCAGGGCTACATCAGCGGCGCCTTTATATTTCGACAAGATGATGCTAGGCGGAGTACGATATATGGATGGCGGTGTAGGCCAAAACAACCCTGTGGAGTACGCTTTGAACGAAGCGCATCAGATGTGTGCTGGCGGCGACCAGTATAAGAAAGTTGCAGCGGCGCTAATCAGCGTCGGCACCGGTCATAAGAAGCCCCAGTCACGCTTCCAAAACATCCTCCATATCATGAAATGGGCGCGTAAGAGCATCACCAATACCCAAGATGCCCATTTCAGAGTCGAAGGCACGTGCAAAGGCCTTGATATCCCGTACTTTCGTTTCGATGTGAAGACCGGTTTGTCGAAGATGAAGCTCGACGAATGCAAGAAGGAAAGAGCTAAAAAGAAGCCCGAGAACATCGCTCAAGCGAATGGAAGTGCCAATCCGGCCGCTCTGGCTTCAGCGCTACCTGAGCCTGTACAGACTCTCGAGAAACCTCTTTTCGACAGCTATCAGCCCGAAAAATACGACTACACAACATACAACACCATCAAGAACTTCACGTTGACTTACTGCCACCACAAGGGTGGGGACCACAATAACCCAGTGGATGTCGATGGAGAATTGACGAATGCTGCCGAACTTTTGGTTTACTACAGAAGAAAGAGAGAGGCTTCGTCGCGGCAGAAGTGGGACAACTTTTCGACTCACCCCTATGTTCGAGTAAATCAGCTATTGAACGGGCTTAATCGAGAGCCTTCTTTTCCTGCCCGAGCACAAGCGTAACAGGGGCTTTGATATGGCTTAGATAAGGTTCCTAGTCAGATCTGGAAAATGTTTTCAATCTGCTTATACCCACATAGACCGCTATTGTTGTCTTCCTTGCTTGTTTATTCCGTAGTCAATGTGAACGCAGTACCTAAATGCTTGAATTAGCACTGCCAGCTCTCCTCCTTACCTTGCTTGAGCTTCCGCGACTAATGTGCTGCAGTCAGTAACCTTGCATTCTGATCTTCAACCACTTTTTGAAGAGGACCTAGATACTTGATTTAGCACAACCAGCTCCACGCACAATTTTCTCTTAAAAGCCACTTTGAACGAAATTTTCCGGTACAATTTGTCGCGCAAAATCGATACAACTGTATTTCAACAAGCTCTTACCATACGCTTGTTCTTCTTCTTCTCCATGACGAAGATGCTAAGGCTACGAGGAGCTCGTTCTTCCTGGATACACGCAGACGACTCAGCCTAACGCAACACAATATAATCCTCAACTATATCAGTGTATGCTTTCGAATACAGAAAAAAATCGTATAGAAGCTCTATCTTTAGCTCCTATTAATAAGTATTAGCATTAGAAATTGTGGTGGTGTCACTTCTAGGCTATTCCTCATAGAAAAGGAGGTCCTCGTAGGCCAGAGTGATGGGAGGTTGAGCCAGTCTACCCCGCAACTCGTAGTGTTGCACAAGTACATTGCCCACATGAAATGGCTTTTCTAGAATTTCAGATTAATTGACAGGAAAGCGCACAACAGCATGTGCTTGTAACATCAAGAGATCACCGGTCGGACATGGGGTAAGGCACTTGTACCACTTCGGTTAGGCTTCCCGCACCTTAGGTCCCGCTCACCTCACCTCACCTCCGCCGGCCTTTCCTTTTCCACCACACTCTCTTCCTCATGCGGGCAACACGCTGCTGGCGCACCGCCAGATACGAACACCCGAAACGTGGCTGGGGGGAGGTCGATCCTGCTCCTCTCGTTTGTCGCTTACGACAAGCCTTCGGATCTGTGGCCATGCGGAGTCGTGGCACGGAAATTTGGGAAGGACAGTAAGCTCGACGCTGCGCCCGTCGAAGTCCGATCGGTCAGGTCCTGGCCAAGTCATTGGCAGCATTTGATCTTCGACTCTCTTATCGCAGTGCTTTTTGCATGTTGCGATGAGGTGTGGGCTGCGAGCGCTGCAGAAACGATCGTCTAGGCCAATTGGCGATGGACTGAATCACCTCCGCGTGGAGGGCTATCGGCTCCACATTGTCCGCAGCAATCTCGATGGGACGCTCATCTGAGCGCAGTAGAACCTATGCTAGACATCCGTCTTGGTCTAGACGGATGGGAGTGTGCGGAGCCCAAGGCCGGGTACCGCCTATAGTCCGCATGGGACACCTAACCCTACGTGCGCGTACGATTGGTGTACCTGAACGATGTGGTGCACCTGCGGGAAGGTCCGCACATCATCGTGGAGGTAGGTAGCAGTTTATAAGATTGCGCGTCTCCGCTGGATCCACCGCTATCATCCACTCAAGCCTTCTACTTTTTTCCGCTCCACAGCAATCCGTTCTTTTGACACTTTTGTCAGTCCATTCTTTATACACACACTCGTTCACTATGCTTCAATCTTCCCTCGTTTTGGCCCTGGCTGGCCTTGCCTCTTTCTCTACTGCTGCTCCAACGGCCTTCAAGCGTGGTGCTGGCAAGCGTGGTCTTGGTTTCGCGAAGAATGCCCAGGATAAGGCTAACATGTTCACTGGCTCCGGTCAGGTGACTTGGGCCTATGACTGGGAAGCTCGCGCTACTGATGCCCCAGGATTTGGCGTCCCCGGTGTGGAATTCGTTCCTATGTTGCACGATGGTGGCGACATGTTCGCGGGTGCTTTCCCCAGCGACTGCCAGGGTGCCCTTGATGCCGGTGCTAAGCACATCTTGAGCATCAACGAGCCCGACATCTGCGGGTAAGTGGTTACGCCCCGATCGATACACGCTACAAGGACAAGTACTGACCATGAACAGCAACGGCGGAACCTGCATGAGCGTCGACGACACCGTGAAGGCCCACAGGAACCTGGTCCAGCCTTTCGCCGATTCCCACCCCGACGTCACCATCGTCTCCCCGGCCTACAGCAACGCCGGTGTCGACGCCATGAACCAGTTCCTTGGCGCCTGCACTGGCTGCAGGATCGACCACATCGCCACTCACTGGTATGGCCCTGATGACGTTGAAGCCTTCAAGGCCCACGTCAGCAACGTCCACGACATCACCCAGAAGCCCATCTGGGTCACCGAGTTCCAGGCTCAGTCCGGTGATACTGAGAAGTTCATGCGTGATGCCATCACTTGGCTCGACAACCAGGACTGGGTCTACCGCTACGCTTACTTCTCGGTTGAGGCTTCCATGACCAACGGCATGTCGCTCAACAACTTGGGCAACATCTTCTCCCAGTAAATGCGTGCGGCGCAACTTGCGAGAGCTGCGGTAAGCAGGACCGCATGACGATAGGGATTTTTGAGTATCTTTCAATTCTCGGCTTTCTTGTGGACTTTAGACTTAGGCTTTATTGATGGATGGACGTACGTTTCTGTTATAGCGCTGCATTTTTGATACCAATCTACTGCTTTACACCACTTTCTTCGCATCGTGCAACGTACATTCTATGGGTATGATCGGTCTCTCTATATAGACAAACAACAGCCTGGTGTTCTCAAAACGTCTCACTAAATCTTAGGCCGACACAACCCCCTCCAGTCGGCATGCAGCAGTCCATCAGCTACCTGAGCCGTTTGCACTGCCCAACTCGCAAGCGCAAGCTCAATGATCCACGCCATCAATGCGCGCCGCCAATCCCTCTTTTTCCCCCACACCGCCACCTCGATCACGGTAAACACTCCATTGAGCACGAAGAAAAGCCCGATTCGCATCTTGCCCTCCGGAGGAAGAAGCGGCGACATGACCTCAGCGTGAAACACGGCCATCAGACTAAACGACGCGATAACAGCGAATGAGCGCGCAACGCGGCGAGGTACTCCAACTGTAGTGAGCACCCACATCGTAGGATTGTACGCCAGCGTGAGACAAGGCGAAGCAAACGCATTATGCCACGTCTCCGTCCAGAACGTAGCCAGGCTGTCGGCAAGGAAGATGGGACCGAAAAGCGGCGGGCTGTTCTTGTACCGGAGCAAAAGCTGGCAGCCCGTGAAAATGATCCAAATGCTGAGGAGGACGCCGAAGGCTTTCACGGGGGCGTACTGGGGGAGGCTTTGCAGAGCGATGAATATGGCGATGTGGATGAGGATCTGGACGTGTTCGGAGTAGAAGATTTGTCTTTTCTTGGGCGAGGAGGGAAAAGGGTACTGGGGGATTGGCGCCAAGCGGATGGGGTTCGGTGTGAATGATTCATAGCGTAGCTCTGTGAGCAGGAGGAGCGCCATGATGGATGGGCGTGGTGGGCGTCCGTTGGTGTACGTCGGTAACGCCTTCTTCCAGCAAAGGATGTGTATTTCGACCAGCTTCATGACCCCGATGACAACTACACTCAAAATCAGCAATCTACCCTTATACATAACACTGCCGTGTTTCTACAAGCAATTGCTATCAATACAGACACTTACTTCCGAAGTCAAACACGCCTCTCAACGCTAGACACCGCACCGGCGCCACCACAATACTCGCCCAGAACAGCAGTAGCGTCGGCACAACCACCACCCTACTCACTCCTACCCACCCCCTCGCCAAAGCATACAAACTCGCGTACATTGCCACCCCCGGCACAAGCAGCGCGACGATAGCCGGCGGCCCATCGACAAGCAGCTGGTGTATCAAGTCGTCTTCAAGGACAGGCACCACAGGGGCCCAATATGACGTCATCATCTTGACACGGCGGCGCGGAGAATGTGCTGCGGAATCGAGGCATTAGTACTTTGTCCAAAGGCGACAGATGGATGGGAGGCACGCTCGGAGCGATGTGTACAGTCAGATTCTGGAATTGTGGGTTTGCCTTGCTCGGACGTGGACGGAGACAGGGTACCGTGAGGCTCCGATTTGTCCGATGGTGTGGCGCGGTGGGGCGGTGCGCGCCTCACCTCAAACGATCTTCGTCTTATTCATGCACTTACTGACTATAGAAATGATTGGGTTAGATCGAGATTCGAGACGATGGGAACGTCGGGGTAGAGCGATTTTGGAGGTGTATAAGCGTGTTCTTTCAAGGTCGCGGGTGCTTTACATGATACGGTAGTCTACGATCGAGTTTGCGATCAAGGCAGCCTAGAGCACAATTGAGCGACGACAAGTAGCAAGCAATGACACAGACTGCATGAGACACAGGTCCGTTGTATGCGAGAAACATGAACATACACCAAAACAGCAAGCCATTACAATGTCAATGTAGGGTGGCGTACCAACACACGTGCCATTAACATATGTATCTACATAAATCTTACTTTTACACAACGCACCATCCCTTCTAATTCTATATGTACGAGTAACAAAACGGGCCTGCCAACGTGCTCATAGCGTCCCGAATAGTGATAGTTCCCGGGTACGCATACCCCAGATTCATGCTGTCCTCAAGCGTAGCATTAGGCGCGGTTGTGTTGGCAAGGAAGATGGTGCCGTAGATGGCGTTGACGCGGTGCTTCGGGTCGAGATTCTGCCACGTCCACCAAACACGGTCGATCTGGCCGTGGTGGAAGAAGAACCTTTAATTCAAGTCAGTACCAGGGAAGACGACGAGGATGTACAGACGTGACTTACCAAGGATCACCGGGCGATGACACAAAGTCTGATCCTGGGTCGCCGCCGATGGTGAAGTGACCCGCAGTGTGCACGCCCATGAAGTTGTTCGAGAAAGCGTTCTCGCCGCCTTGCATGTCGTACCAGAAGGTCTTCATATCCCTGCTCTTGAGCAACTTAGTCACCTGCTGGTCATTCGTCCACTGGCTCGAAGTCCACGCCGAGATGTCACGCCTTAAGCAGCGTGTGTTCCTGCCGAGACCCATGAGTCCGTTGGTGAAGTCTTGCTCAGGGTTGGAAGGCGTGCAGGTCACGTCGGTGAAGACGGGGCCTAGATTGACCTTCCAGTCGCTGAAGGGGCCTGAATTTACGCAGCCTCCTCCGGCACCGTGAGGGATTGAGATCAGAGGTTGGGCCTGTGTAGGGATACCGTAGAAGGTCTGGTTCGTGCAGCGGTCCCCTCCGAGGCCATTGCCGCCCATGGAGGTTGCGGAGCCATCGAGAGCAGGAGATGCTGCGGGGTTGCTGGCCCAGCGAGGCCAGTTGTAGTAGGGCTGGTAGCCCTTGTAGCCACACTCTTTGCGGAGTGTCTGCTCGTAGGCCCACGTAAAGTAGCGATGCCTAAGATTCAAGGTACGATGTCAGTTGTACACGTTCACACTATTCCTAGACGTTGCATACCAAGCTAAGAAATTACCCGTATTATGAATCTAAACCCGTCAGCCAGGTTTCAGAGTGCGGCGAAGGTCGCAAGTTACCGAGAACGTCTGATTGATGTGGGTTGCTACAAAGTCCTGTCGAGCAAGGTGTGAGTAGAATGCCCCAATCGGGTCAATACCGTAGGCTAGACTTACGTCGTACCGGTTCTGGCACCCTGGGCACTTGTCTTTAGGCGTCTTCGGGGGCAGCTTGGACATGCACTGCACTGCCTTGATGTAGTCCTTCTTCTCGGAGGTAGAGAAAGCGGCCCTATCATGTGTAACTCATGTAAGCCACCATACGTCAAGTTGATACATGAGGTACTAACCACTCGCGGCGGTATATGGCGTTGTTGCGGTTGCACTTCTTCCATTGCGTAGGGTTAGTGATAGACTGGTAGATTTGCTGGTTAATTGCAGCAGCGGCGGCTAGTATGTCCGCCTGTAGCACGTTCGAGCTAGCTGGCGTGGTATTGAGGACTGAGTAGTCGAGGTACTCTTCACTTGTGGTCTGCGGTGCAGCGAAGGATGCAGGGGCAAGCAGGATTGCCCCAATTACTGCAGCTGTCCGCATGGCTGGCGGTGAAGGAGTCTCCGTTCCTTGCAAGGTGAAGAGGAAAATTAGAAAATAAAGTTTAATAGCGTAAGAGAATTCGAGTGGTGGACGACGGAGGAGGTACTGCGTGGGTGCGCGGTTAAGTTCGTGACCAGGCGTGCGGCACGACCGATCTCAAAGCCCAGGATTAACACGAGAATACTATAGGCGGATGGAAAGCATAGAGACGCGCAGAGATTAAAGGGTGCATGGAACGCGCTTCAAATACCGAACATATGGCCCCTTCGTCCACGACTCAGTGTCCAGTGAGTACGCAAGCCTGGCGTCCGGCATCTTGGTCGCCTCAGTCGAAGAGCATGCCGGCAGCTGAGATTGGTGCTGTTTGAAGGCTAGCTCTCCGATCAGTGAGCGACTCGGAGCAAGAGGTAAACGGAGAAATGGCATCTTTCGGGATGATAGACAATGCCTGGGTGGCGCGGGCTGTGTTAGAGTGGTTCTGGGTTCTCGATCGTTCAGGATGTCATTGGAGGTCAACCGCACAGGTGCAGCTCGCTTCCAAACGCCTGTCGCTTCTGTGGCTGTCAAATCTAGGTCCCGTCTGGGGAACCGGTTAATGGGGCAGGGTGATTACGATTACTTGTCCGAAAGAGGAAGTCGAAGGAAGGTTTCGCTTCCGACTGTGCCACCACAAGACGAATAGATCCGGATACTCGTTGGGTGTGACCACTCTGAAGTGTAGCCTGGGGCACATAGGGCGACTTCTAAGTAGACAATGACAGCGAGTGTGGTTTCTGAAGCACAGTGCTAGTGGTTGAGTAGTGCGTGGGCTAGGCTGTGATGGCAGTAGCGAGTGAGCGAGTCGTGCTTTTGCGGGGGACGGCCCGCCCGAACCCAAGTTTCCTCGAACCGGGAACAGGGGCTCGATCTGGCTCAGCGCATCACTTGCGACATCGGCTATATTCCCCCACAGTATGATCTCTTCTAAATCGCGTCTCCACTCCTCATGATTGCATCGCGCTCCGCGGATGTATTCTGCGCTTATCAAATTGTAATTTCTTCATACAGTACCCGTGCCTGTTCTGGTTACCAACCCGCTCCTGCATCAGCTCGCGACAATTTTTTTTCGTCCTGCTACCATGAGCAAGCATTTGCGAGCTGTCAGAGTTTAGCTCGAAGACCTCGATATCCTATCCGTCAACCGGAACGAAACTGTAATCGTTGCGCATCTGTCTCCACGAACCCTACCATCCCGCGTCCTGCAATCAGTCCTGTGATGCTATTCCTGGCCTCCCACATGGTTGAAGTCCTCGACAAACCCAGAAACTTTGTGTAAATCCTTCAAGAAGGGGCTCTGGGCGAGGTCGGTGTAATCGATCGCATCGTTCTGTGTACGAGGTAAATAAGGTTCGATGCAGGGGATTCGGTTCCTGGGATTAGCACTATGCTTGGTATCTGCGGGACTAGGAACTCCACCAATGAGACACCAATCGCATATTGCATGTGCAGAATATCACGCGAAGAGGCTTGTACTGAATTCGGTGCGGGGAAGTGTGGGAACGTCCGTGAGGTGAGGTACGAACTAGGGTAGAGCGGGATTGCCGACAGTTCAATCTGTGTCATTGACTTGATCAAGGACTGTTGAACCTAGTATGCACCCCAGATACTCCAGCAATATGAACTCTAAAGGGATGTCAGAGTGAATATTGCGAGCCTATCTTTGTAATCGTAGAGCTCGAATTGCTCGCTGGGTCATGCGTAATTTCAGCATTCACCCGGTTACGCAACAGCCGGCTGTGCAACCTCGATCGCCACGTGAGGGAGACGAAGCGCAATCTGTATCTACCGGTCACACTGGCCAGCGATGCTGATGCTACGAGGGTAAAATTGAAGCCATGCATTCACCCGCCCCTCTGCCAGTATCAGATCCTTACACCACATACGAGTACGCATCCTTTTTCGGCTTCCCACCGAGAGGCGAAACGAGCGCAACCGGTCGCAATCTTTGACTCTGCAGTATATCCATCATGACCAGTCCGTGCATGAGTGATCTTTTCGCATCCAAGTCCCTCTTCCTGCACGCCCATCACCTCCTCTGCAAATCCTTTTCTAGCACCACTTCGGGTGGCTACGTACCTGGAAGCTCGACCGTCATCCTACAGAAACCTGTCACCAATGCTCGTCCCGGCGCTCTGGAACCTGGCCTGAGATGCTCGTTCGGATGCATGTGACATCCTACCCTCCCAGGAGCCCTGCCTGAATCGTAGCAAGAATCGTTCCACGCCATACATTTCGTACCGCAAGCGACTTCTGGAAGCGGTAAACTAGCACGCTCACTCCCGCTGGTCGGCCCGTTGAGCCAATCCTCTTTTGCTGGGTCGTTCCTGCCTGGCTTACACATACTGTATACCAGACGAACCGATCCTCCTCCTTATATAGGCAGCACTTCAGCGTTATCATAGCGATCGGTTCCTTGTATTACTGTTCTTTTGTCCCTGCATTGCGCAAGGCGCAAGGTTGGTAACTACCTCCCAGGCGAAGGGACGGATCTTGGTAAGATCAACTGAGGTAGATCACACCGCCTACGGCACCTACGTCGGAACCTCGCAGACAAAGAAGAAAACATGAGTGGTACGCAGAATCTAGGGCCGCCGCCCTCGCCAGAGTATCTCGCCGAGGACTATGGGCCGAAGTTGCTGGCAATCGACTGCACGTTGTTCGGCCTCGCGGCTGTCACGATGATCTTGAGGATGTATGTGAGAGTCTTCATGCTGAAGATGTTCGGTATCGATGGTGAGTGAGTGTTTTTTGTTCCACCATCTTTTCGATGCCATCACATCACTGAGGCCGCTCATTGCGACCACGAATTGGATGGAAGCCGGCCAAATTTCTGCACTCAGATATCCCTTACAGCGCCTTCTCCTATGTCTGGTAGCCTGAGTCACGCAGAAACCTTGGAAGCAGTTCTGCAGAACGTCTCTGCGTCAATCGCGACGCAACCGCCAGCACTCTCGAAAGGCACACACTGTCCCCGAATCCATAGAACATAACCGACGATAGAAAACTCACTGACTCTCCCACTAGACTGGCTCATGCTCATCGCAATGTCCCTCTCCCTAACGATAACCGCCCTCTTCATAAAAACCGTAACCCTCGGCCTCGGCCGCCACTTCGACGTCTCGGGCCTGGCCTTCCCCCTCGCAAACATGGGCCCCTTCTTCAAATACACCTACGTCTACGCCATCCTCGTCATCTTCGCCTACTCCTTCATCAAGCTCTCTATTGGGTTCTTCCTCTTAAGACTGGCGGACAGGACGCGCTGGAGGACGTTTTTGATATGCACGCTCGTATTTTTGGTGGCGTTTACGATAGGTAGTACCATGGCGATTGTGTTCCAGTGTATTCCCGTCCGGGCGGCGTACGATTTGACTTTGAAGCCGCCGCTGGGGTACGCGTTCCCCCTCCCTTCTTCCTCCCGTAATCCCTCCCCCACTTCCACAGACTAACGCGAGAGGCGAACAGCAACGCAAAATGCTACTCGGTCAACATCTTCAAAAACGTCGGCGTGTTCAACTCCAGCGTCAACATCGCAACGGACCTGCTCTTCGCGCTGCTCCCCATCCCCATCGTCTGGAAACTGCAGGTCAACATCCAGACGAAGCTCGGGCTGTCCTTCTGCATGGCGCTCGGCTTGTTCGCCACCGCCACCGCGATATACAAGACGCCGATGCAGTATCATTTTTTCGAGGAGCCGGATTTCACCGGCAAGGGCAGCTGGTATTATATTTGGCAGCAGTGCGTCAATACCCCAAACCCCTTTCCCGGCCCATGGGGGAAAATCGACCCAGGAATGCAATGCTAATAAAATGGATCCTAGGGTCGAAATGAACGTTGGCATCACCGCTGCTAATCTCCCGACGCTCAAGCCCCTCTTCGCCCGCTTCTTCACCTCTCTGCGCACCATCGCCGGGTCCTACGGCTCGCACGCTGGGCACTCCGCGCTGGGTACGCCGTATAAATCCACGGGGTACTTTAAGCAAGAAGACCAAGGGAATTCCTTCGCGCTGAGCAGTCTGAGTAAGAAGGGCACTGCAGATGAGTGGGGCAAGAGGGGAGATAGCGACGAGAGTATTCTGAGGGAACACGGGGGTGCGTTTAGTATAGGGAGGGAGAGGGAGAGGGAGAGAGACACGCAGAGGGACATGGCGAGGAGATTGAGTGTGAGGAATGGGGGCATTATGCGGACGACGGATGTGGTTATTACAAGATGAAATGATTGACGGAGGGGGAAATGGGAAAATAATTAACATATTCCAATGGTGTATCTACTATTGTGCGGAAGGGGTATGCGTGCATGCTGCGCGCTGGCTTTGCGTTCAATGTAGTATAATAGAGGCGAGTATCAGGTATATGCCTCGGATTTGGATGCCAGATCGTCTCAGATTGTGTGGTGTTGTGCAGTGCGGGTGGTCGGTGAAGGCCGGACTATTTCACGCCAGCCATAGTAAGAACCTTGTATGACAAGTTCCGACCGGGCATCTGATGAGCTTAGATTACCACCAGTGTGGTGATACTCAACGTGGCCACTAGAGGCACTGAACGAAGGTGCGGTGCACATGATGGCGTTCATGGCCTTTGCTGATGCCGATGTGTGAGTGGGGTCCCGAGTTCGCAAGGTACCACTGCGTCACCTCTTCCAGCGTCCCTGTCATGTTACGATTCATCCTTCATCTTCCCACACAGCGAACACGTCCACCACTGATGCTCCATAAAGGTGCCACAGTTCAAACAGTTCCAGCCTATCCGTCCTTTGGCAGGCTCGAAAGGCGTGGCACTGGCCCCTCTAAGCCCCGCTGCAGGGGGTGGCTTTGGAAGGGCGGCTGGATGGTGGGCCGGACCGTAGCGCTGATTTTGCGGAATTGGTTGTGGCGGCTGCTCTAGGCCGCAGGCTCCACAGGAGAGGAAGTCGAGTGGATTATGTAGCGTGCATTGAGGACACGCCCACTTGTTTGGATCGGTGGGAACCACGAGAGACGCCGGCGAGGGTTGAGATTCAGGTGGTAGGGATCCGTTGCGGATTGCTTCCTCTTCTTGTGATATGAGGCGGGACGACGGGCGACGGGAGCTTGGTAACGATGTCGGTCGTCTAGCCGGGTTCCCGGTGACCAAGCGGGACAGAGGACGCCCGTCGTGATTTGAAGACACGCTTCGAGTTGGGGGCGGTTTCGGGCTCGACGTTCGTGAAGTTGGAGGGTGATTGTCAAATTGTAGGCCGTTCACGGGATCCCACGCCAGTCCACCCCCTCCGTTGGGCGCGCACAGCTCTTCCAGCTTGATCATCTCCTCCTCTTCCATGAGCTCTTGCAAAGCTTGTGCGATTGCCAAGTCGTTCGCGTCAGTCTCTTCAGCCTTCGTCCTGAATCCAGTCTGCACTTGCTGATCACGCAATCTGCCAGCTTCGGAACTGCCACTCGCGCAGCCGTCTGTGATGCTGGTTCTCCTTGTCGCCGCGTCTGCGATGACCTTGCGCATATCTACGCCACGAGAGACTGGACCGCCTCCTAACCGACGCCCGCCTGCATTCTGGTTCGTGGTCCCCCTTCGCTTTTCTGCTGAAATTCGAGCCTGACGGCGCATTTCGTCCAATGGTATCCTCTTGCCACCGAGCGATCGACCTTGAGATAAGAAACCCTCACCGGTGTAGCCTTTTGCAACTAATGACTGGTGCTCGTCGCGCAGCTCATTCCAAAGATTGTGGAAGTTGGCGTCGTGTGGGCCCCAGATGATATGCGAGAGCTCATGTAGCAGGGTATCTGTGATCTGCTCCATGGGTAGGAACTGCCTCGAGTCATGGTGATAGCGCAGCCTGATCAGTATTCTCTCTGTCCTATTGATGTTCAACCCTGCACATTCTTAGTTACAGATGCTCCATGTTTGACTGCAATCGTACCGAGCAGCTGAGGTTCATCGGGGAGAAATTCAGCTAGAGTGGCGATCTTCCAGCCTCGTTTCCTCATCATGGGCTTGACCACGGACGCTGCCTTGCGCAGCATGTGTAAAGCCTCGCCATCGCGAGGTAGGTGCTTGAGATGTTCGTACGCATCAAAGTGCGCGTCGATCTCCCGCATGTTGCGGGTCTAGCTTGATGTTTCGCTGACAGCTTGCGATTCGATATTCCAGTTTCAGTATTCGGTCCGAGGTTCTAGTCGATCTTCCAGTTTGACAGGTGAAAGAAAAGGTAGACTGAGAAGTGAGAGAGGAAAGCAGTCGGACTTGAACAACGCGTAGAAAAGACTCGAAGGATGATTATCAAGAAGAGTGCAACGCCAGCCAGCCACGTAAGCTATGCGCGCGGCGAGAAGGCACCACGGCGTACGTAGAGGCAACCCTCGAGGAAATCACTAACCAGAGAGGGCGAGGACCGCGCCTAGCCAAGGGTATCTATAGGAAAAGAATGTACAGAGGGCCGCACGCGCGTAAGCGCAGGCGCACTTGAGACTTGAGGTGCGAAAGGCCAGACACGTGCAGGATGCCGTACCTAGTGGCGGCGGAAGGCGATACGCCACATTTGCTCTGCGGTCTAAGCTCCCAGACTCCGCAGATGACGATGCACGATCCAACCTTCCTTTCTTCGCCTCTACTTTTCACATAGTCTTTTATTACATTCTCTAATTCTGTGCAATGACGGCCGACGACCAGCATTTTCTGGATGTGGTGAGTGCCCTCTCGCGCCTTATCGGGTTGTTGCTGACTGACGACACTCGCGCGACAGCTGTCTGAGTATTCACAAGACATCCGGAAATTTACGGGCAACATTTTTGACGCCTCGGACCGGCATTTCCAAAGCGTCGCCGGGTACATAAAACGATCCGTCCCTAAAGGCTGGCTACCTGAACATGCTCGCCCGCCCCCTCCGCCCCCGCGCGTAGTCTCCGGCGCCTACCTACATCGTCTGCAAGATTGGGTTTCGCGGAATCGCGCGCTTACGGCCGCACTTGTAGCGTTCTTGGCCACGGGCGGAGTTCTTTTATGGCGGGAAAGGAACAAATCTAGGAAGAAACGGAGGGCACGGCGCGCAAGCAATGGCGCACGGAAAGAAGTCATCGGTAGGATCAGCGCATGCTCATGCACTGCAGATGCTGACTATGGCAGTCCTTGCTGGTCCGCCCAACTCGCCCATAATAAAATCGCTCTCGCTCGACCTCGAACGACGCGGATTCATCGTATACATTGTGTGCTCGGATATGGAAGAGGAGCAGCTGGTACACGGCGAATCGAGAGCAGACGTGCGGCCACTGCATCTTGATGTCGCTGACGTCCTGGGCACCCAAGAGGCGATGGAGCGCTTCAACGACCTGCTGCTCAAGCCCCATGTCGCGTTCTCGGGCGCATCACCACACAACCTACATTTCCGGGGACTGGTCCTGGTCCCTGATCTGATCTACCCGTCGGGCCCCGTTGAAACGATTGGGCCTGAAATGTATTCTGACGCACTGAACGCAAAGGTTCTAAACACCATTGCCGTAACACAGGCGTTCCTTCCTACCATCTGCGAGTTCAAAGCGCGCGTTTTGATGTGCACCCCAAGCATCGTGGCGTCATTGCAGCCCCCGTTCCACAGCGTCGAAACCGCCGTTGTTAGCGCCCTGGAAGGGTTCACGGCGTCGCTGAGAGGCGAACTCGGCACGCTAGGCATCGACGTGTGCCAGTTCAAGCTCGGGACGTTTGAATGCTCCCGCATTGGGAGCAGACAGCACCTGCAAACAACCGCTGGACCGAATACGATGGCGTGGCCAGCGACAACACGGAAACTGTACGCGTCGAACTTTGTGAATCAGAGCCGCATCGCGCAAAACAGAGGACTTCTCACTGCAAACAGCACTGGAAGCTCGTTGCGAGTGTTGCACGACGCTGTGTTTGATGCGCTCACCCAAAGACGGCCACGTCGGGTATGGCGCGTAGGACGTGGGAGCGTAACGTACGACATTGTGGGCAACTGGATACCCGCAGGCTTGGTCGGATGGATGATGGGCGTAAAGCGAGTGTCGCTAGAGGAGGCAACAGCAGAGCCGCAGCTGGAAGATGCTGCACAGTCTTGGGAGAAGATTGAACAGGTCGTGTGAAGTGATGCTGCTGCAGCGCACACTCCTACTACTCTCCCCTCACGTTGAAGCAGAATCTGCCGAAGAATATCACAACCACACTCAACCGTTGGAATAAGCAGTAACGTTTGACTCCGGTCCGATTTATCGACTTGTGATGGCCGGCACGTCGGTAAGTCGATGGCGGCAACCTCGTGTTTGCGCGCCGGACATGTGTTACTCGTTTTGTAGTAGCTCTGGCGAAAGCATTGTCGGGGTAATTACACCAAAGCTAGGATACGGGGTGCTGAACAGGACGAAGGAAATTTGGGCAACGTATTCAGTCGTCAGCCAGCAATAGGATGCACAACTGGATTCTAAAATCATATCATGGAACCTGTTTGTATTCGCCTGTGCATGCGAACAAAGGCCCTGGGTTCAAACAACGTTGTCGATTCAATCAAGTCTTCCAGCTGTAAGGGTAGCAGTTCGTTCGCACAAGGCATTATAGCAAACCTACTATATAGACTAAGATTGCTACGACTTTCGCGAGCACAATTGGACTCTTTCTGCTTGCCCAGATGGCGAACGTGGACAGTCGCGAGACAGGCGTGTGACCAGCCAAGAGGGAGGCTAGTCGAGTCGGGCAGTATTCGGGGACCAAGGCGATTTGGTGTGGTAGTGTAAGGCAGGCCGCCTCGCAGTCTGGCCAGGTATCGCTGTATTCTTATTATTAGCTCTTTCGCCATCGATGCGGTGTGGCAACTGCGTGCGATGGACGCTGGTTCGATAGCTTCGAGAGAGAATCGTCTTCTTGTACTCGCGTAGGATTGACGTTGGTGGACGGGGTTGCTGTATTGGCGAGGGCACAGGTGGCTCGTGCGAGGGCAAATGAAGGACCTGGACGTGGTTGCAGCTTGTCACAGGCGAGCGGACTGCCCCCAAACGGCGTGGGCCGAGAACATTGTCCAGGTCGTGAAACGTACGCACGCGACGCGACGGCTGAAGTTGTGCATCACGGCGCCCAATCTCCCCAAGCCGGCCGAGTCCGCCACAGAGCGTCGCCGTCGCTGCAGAGGAGCCAGCCACAGCAAGGTCGAGGCTGCGAGGCTGCGGGCATTCGCTGCGATGAGATTAGATTATTCCGCGATGCTTCTACCGTGTCCGCTGACTGCAGCCACCGTCGCGAATCGGGGTGTGATTGGCGGCCGTTGGAAGCGTCGGCCTGAAACCAGCAACCCTAAACTTGGATGCGGCCCGCCAACGCGCCAAGTGCTCAGGGGCAGCAAAGCCTCAGTCTCCATAATGGAGTACACTGCCCAGTGCGCCGTCCCTGGTGCGCCGTCTGTCTACCGTTGCGGACCTCGCAGCTTTCTCTCACGTCTTCTGCAAAGTGTGTGCTCGGCGCAGCACTGCTGTCCGTTGCTCTTAGTAGTACTGTCGCTCCTTCGCCGTTGCTCCCCACTCCGCTCTTCGCCGTTGCGATCAGCATACCATCTGCGATACCCCAGTCCGACCACCGCCACTTCCCAAGACCCGTCCGTCCAGCCAGCGCACACCTTTACGCCTCAGGCATTACTCCTCGACTTTTGCCTCCGCGCCTGGTTTCACCACCTCTCGTATGACGATACCGTCTGCCGCATCCCCGTAACTCCGCCGCCGGCTTCATGAAATACGGCGCATGAGCCTTCCATTCGCTCCTTCCACCTTCTACCACCATGGTAAACAGATCAGACCGCCCCGGCGGCCTCGAGTTCCGCTCGCAATCCTTCGACCCGCCCTCCAACGCCAGCATGAGCAGCCTCTCGCTGCACGACCTTCCCAGCCCTCGCGCCGGCGAGGTGCCGCCTGCGCTTTCCCCTCTGGATGCCCTCGCCCTGCAGGGACGCCTCCTGGCAAAGAGATTTGAACAGGAGGAGAGGGCTGGCCGTCGCATCAGTCGACTGGCACCACTCACCATCCAGAATGAATTCGGCAACCGCGCTGGCTACTTCTCTTCGCTCTCGAATTCCACCGTTACCTCGCCCAACGAGGAGCTCCTACCTCCCCCGGTTAGCCCAGGTCAGCGACCTCAGAACTCCCCGCGAGCGCAGACCTCGACCGACAAGCACAAGTCGTTGTACCCCATGTTCGGTGGTGACGATGAAATGCTCAACGAACCGCCGATGCCCTACAGGAATGTCCTTTCTCCCATTGGTGAGCAGGCCGCGCCTGCTCCTCCGGCCCCTCCGCAGGGCTACTTCGACATCCCGAGATCCACGTCCCCGGAGCCTGCAATCGGACTGCAGGAGGCCACGCCAGTATCCGCCAATATGGCTCGGTCCAATTCGCACGCCCTCAAGCAGGCTATGAAGAGACAGCAACCTCGCGATGCGCCCCACAGGCAGCAGTCGAGCTCTAGCCTACGCCCACCGAGGTCACCTGGTTCGCAAAGGGCCCGCTCTCCTAGAATGTCCCCGACCGTCAGGTCCGTCCACAACGACAGTGCGGACGAGGTCGAAGACATGTCGCTTGGTGGCTCTTACGATTCTCTCCACAGGAACCTGTCTCCTAGCTCCAGCCTGTCCAGGTCTCATTCTCCGCTGACGCCTTTCTCCAACCATTCTATCCCTCGCTCGCCGTCAGCATCTTCCGAGCGGTCGAATGCCAGTCACCAACCTCCTCGCCCGTCCTTTGCCAACTTCTCGCGGCCTAGGAGCGCCACGAGCAGACAGCCATCGCTCGACGTACGTCCAAGCGTGGACTTACGTCCTAGCATGGATCGCGCGCCATCTCGACAGGCTTCCGATGAAAGTTCCTACATGCGGCCATCTTTCGAGTCCCACTCGATCCGACAGGACTCTACGGAGAACCCGGTCTTTCCCCCCTACGCAAACGACGTCGTGCATACTCCTGTGAGCATGACGAGCGAGGACTGGCGTCGCTCGACTGACTACTCCAATCCGGCTTCTACGTACACTTATTCCAAGTTTGACCTCCCGCGAGGCCGAAAGCTGGATCGCAAGTCTATCGGAATCGAAGACTTTTTGAACAGCCAGATTGGCTGGGAACAGCCCAAGAAGCCCGCGGGAGCACGGCCGCCTTCGCCAGTATCACCGCCTCGTTCCGCCAGCAAACAGCGTCCCTCGATCGAAACGCGCAGCACTTCGACGGAACGCGGCGCGCCATCGCTCACTTCCAGCAACAGCACCATCCGTGGAACCACCGGCACTGGATCTGACCAGATCACGGCACAGGAACATTGCGACAAGGGCGTCGAGCTGCACGAGGCTGGTGAGTTCATGAAGTCTACCTACCACTTCCGTCTTGCTGCCCGCGCAGGACTCGCCGAGGCCATGTTCTGGTATGGCCTTGCATGCCGTCACGGCTGGGGTATGCGCGAGAACAAAGCCGAAGCGTTCCAGTGGCTTCGTCGTGCTGTCGACTCCGGCCAGCTTGAGGTTGCCGAAGATGAAGATCAGACCAAGCATGGCCACAACCCCGATTTGGTTAAGAAGAAGCAGCACAAAGCACAGTATGGCATTGCCATCTACGAGCTTGGGAAGTGTTACATGAACGGTTGGGGCGCCAAGCAGGACAAGGGTCTTGCCGTTCGCTGCTATGAGATCGCCGGTAACTGGGGAGATGCTGATGCCTTGGTCGAGGCTGGCTATTGCTACGCAGAAGGTGTAGGCTGCCGCAAGGACATGAAGAAGGCAGCCAAGTTCTACCGCGCTGCTGAGGCCAAGGGCGTCAGCATGGTTGGCAACAGCTGGATCTACAAGGACAAATACATGGACGATGGCACCGCCACCTCAGACACCCGGTCGATCCGCTCCGGTCGTTCTGAAAAGAAGGGCCCTGGCTCTGCGAAGAAACCTCGCGAAAAGAGCCGCACGCGGACAATGTTCGGCCGCAAGAAGAGCTTCGCCGCCTGAGCTTGAAGATTGCCTACCCTATACGTGTCATGACCGGTCTCTTTTCTCATTCGGCGAAGGCGTTCCGGTTCTGCCTACCTTCACCTCGGCGGCTGGCTGTTTTTGCATATACCCCAATCAACACAGCGGCCATAGCAACGCTGCTGGTTTCATCTGCTTCACACAATTCTTAACTTTGACACGGAAATTCGCTTCTCGTCACAAAAGTTTACAATACTTCTCGGCTATACCTGCCCGGCGCACGGCTGGGTGCGCCACCAATATCGACCCCCTACTTCGACTTCTCGACATACTTTTCCTACTTTTCTGTGTTTCTATTCTTTTCCTGTGTCCTCTGTTCAATTCGCTATGTTGTTATCCTTTCCTTTGTCATCGCATCTGGTGGTCAGCGGGACCTTGACATGTATTGATGAAGCGTGCAAATACCTTCTTTTCCGTGGTTCCAAAATGCTTAATCTAATCCGGTACTGGTGTGCTGGCTGGCTGGGGGCGAGACCTGGCGTTGTCTCTGTTAATATTTATTGGGTGAAAATGGTGGTGGTTGTCATATCCTGCCCGGTGGTGGGAAAAGGAAGTGTAGTATAGCTGTGAGAAATTGATGGGTGTGAGAGAGATGTTGTTTATCTGATCTTGACTTGCTTGTGCTTGTTGGAGGATCTTAGTCGTGTAAGGTGGGTAATCTTTTGGGCGATGTGAGAACGTGCTGGTACGTACAGGCATGTCTTCTGCACCCAGACGTTGCGCTCATCGACCAGTAGTAGTCTTCGTCTCACGATGTTCGATAGTCAATGTGCTGACTAACCACCACTCGCGATGCACTTCCCCGACGCTAGAAACCAACGTTCCCCAGAGTAACCCCAGACCCACACACGCAGATCACCTGCCACAAGTAGACAGTCACAACGGGTATCACAATCCGTCGGCAACATGCGCGTCTATCTCCGGGTGACGACGTCCGTATCTACTTGCAGTCAAGCTTTTTTCTTCTCTCTAGATTGACCAACTGTATCCGTACCAGTCAAGCACTCGGCGGCCATGGTGCAAGTATACACATTGGGCGTCGCCCTCTTCGCAGCGATAGGAACATTTCTCTTCGTACGTCTTGCCCCACGACGCAACCAGATCATCTGACGGGGTAGGGCTTCGACACCGGCATCGCAACGACGACAATAGCCCATCAGTCGTTCCTCGACTACATGGACCGTCCCAGCAAGGCCATTACCGGCGCCGTGGTGGCGGTGTACATTGCCGGCGAGGCGGGCGGTGCGATTTTGCAGTCGCTGATAGGGGATCGGCTGGGACGCATTCGGTTTATGCAACTTATGTGTGTTATTGTGACGGTGGGGACGGCGGTGCAGACCGCAAGTGTCAATATGGGAATGTTTCTGGCTGGGCGCGTTCTCGCGGGTTTTGCGGTCGGGGGCTTGGTCTCCACGGTGCCGATCTATCTCAGTGAGATATCTGCGCCGCAGTCGAGGGGGTTGATTGGGGGGATATCAGGGTGTGGTATGCATGGCATTCACTCTGTGGCAGACTGCGTGTGGTACGGCAGCTGATGCTTGCTCTCAGGTATTTCTTTCGGCACCATGATGTCCAACTGGGTGGGTTTCGCCTGCAGCTATGCCCCCTACGGCGCAAACCAGTGGCGTCTCCCCCTGGGCGTCCAGATCCCCTGGGGAATCATCCTGTTCGCCGGCCTCGCAACTTTCATGCCCAACTCCCCCCGCCAGCTCATCCAGCAGGGCAACGTCGACCTCGCACGCAAAGAGTTCCTCCGCATCCACCGCTCCCTCTCGCCGCACGACGCCCACGAGGAATTCGCCCTCATGCACGCCCAAATCGCGTACGGGATGGACCGCGAAATCACCTCCTACCGCCAGGTCTTCCGCCTCTTCCGCCACCGCGCACTCGTCTCCATCGCCGTCCAAACAATGACCAGCCTAACAGGAGATACGTGCCCTCCCCGTCCTCCCCTTCCTCACCCCTAAGCTAAGCTAACCCCCCTCCACTAAACGTAATCCAATACTTCCAAACGCTAAACTACACCTCCTCGGCATCACGCCGCGCCTCAGCCTCGCCCTCGCCGCCCTCTACGGCACTACAGCCTTCGTCTCAAACGCCCTCTCAACCATCTTCCAGCCGACGCCTGGGGCCGGCGCAAAATGCTCCTTTGCGGTCTCGCGGGTACTATCGGCGTGGAGATCTACGCGGCGCTCATGCAGCGCTTTTACGAGGACACGCCGAACCGCGTGGGCAAGGCGTTCGCCGTCCTGGGCATCTATCTCTTTGTCGTGGTGTACTACTCGCTCCTCAACTCCACGACGTGGCTCTACGGCAGTGAAGTCCTGCCGCTTGGTCTGCGCTCCAAGATTATGGGTGGAGCGGCGGGGAGCCACTTCTTGGTTAATGCGGGGATTACGGAGGCGGGGCCGACGGCTCGGGCTGGGTTGAGAGAGAATTATTATTATGTATGTGGGGTGTTCGGCGGTGTTTTTGGGGGCGTATTTTTGGTTTCCCGAGACGAGGTTGAGGAGTTTGGAGGAGATTGCGGGGGCGTTTGGGGAGGAGGTCGTTGGTGTTGGGGTGCGGTGGGGTGGGAGAGAGGAAGGTGGTTGGGGGAAGGATGGGGGTGGGGGTGGGGAGGTGAGTGGGGAGAGGGATGGGGATGAGGGAACGACGGGGAGCTGAGGCATCGCCGGTGAGAGATTATGATTCCTGACTGGACGAACGGTATAGAAGAGTGCTTTGCAGCTGCTTTTAAGCTGCACACTTCTCTTGGGGCTCGCGTCTCGGGTGATTAAAACAATAACACAGACAGTTGCATGCGCTCCAGAAAAAGAACAGCAACACAGACATGTGCCTCCTCGTGCGACTAAAAGGCAATTACTTCTGGATAACGAGCGCACGGTCAGGTGCAGAAGTCGTCATCACTATTAAGCGATGATAATTCCCTTACATAACGAGCGGTATAAAAGACGCAAATTCGCCGGCTTCCTAACCTGCACACTTCTTCCGAGCTTCGTTCTCAGGCACTAAAATCCTCTGTGAAGCGATCGCATGGGTTTGGAAAACTGGAAAATAGCTTCTATGGGCTGCTCGCTGTTTAAAATCCCTTGACTACGATGGCATGGTCTTTTCCCTTCTCTTCTTCTGGAAGCGGGTTGATGGGCGCAACGTTCGGGTGTAGAAGGTACTATCACCGATGAGAGATGATGATTCCCATGCAGGAGGAAGGGTATAAAAAGACGAATTTTCGGTCGGCGTTGCAACTGCACAGTTCTTCAGCGCTTCGTTCTTGGGCGACTAAAAGCATTGCGGCAAGCATCTAATGGCCTGGGCTGCTTGCGCTGTCTAAAACCGAGACTAGAAGTTGGCATGTGCCCCTTCGTGCGACTGTGAGAGGCGACTATCTGCCGGTTGTTGAGCGGTACGTTGAGGTGCAGAATTTACCATCACCAATGAAAGATAGTGATTCTGGGAATGATGAATTGTCTATAAATACTGGTTTTCTTTAGCTTTTCAACGCACACTTCTCCAAGCTTCCTTAGGACAAACAAAAGTGTCTGGACGAGCACCTAATGCTCCTAAAAGATTGGTGAAGAGATAATATGGCCCGCTTGCTTGCGCTGTCTAAACTCCGTTATGAAGATTCCCTATGGTCTTTGTTCTTTCCTTCTTCTAAAATCCATGCAGATTGCTGCGATGGGGTAGCGCTCGTTCGAAGAATCATCACCAAGTGGTGATGGAGGAGGGTAAGACATGTATAAAAAGCCTATTTCTTTATCTTTACGTTGTACACTTCTAGAGCTTCTTTCTTCGGGCAATCAAAAGTTCTCCAATGCCGGATCATGGTCTTGAGAAACTGGAAAATAGCTTCTATGGCACGCTTGCTGTCTAAAAACCTTATAAGCGAAAACATGTGGTGGTTTGTCTGCTCTTCTATAAGTTCTAAAAGTCGACAAAGAGCGCTGCGAAGGGGGTCTGCTCTTTCAGCGTTTAAGGAGCACTATGAAGCGAGACTCTTCATCAATAACGAGTGATGTTGGAGGACAGGATGTGTATAAAAAGGCTGCTTTGTCTGACTTTGGGCTGCACACTTCTTCGAAAGGCTTCCCTGAGAATACTAAAAGGGGGGATTATGGAAGCACATGGGTCTAAAACAGGTATACGACCAACTGATGGTCTGTTTGCGCGCTCTGAGTCATAATATTGGACAAAGCAACAATACTGTCGTTCTCCCGCCTACTCTAGGGCCATGCGAATTGCAGCGATGGGGTGGCGCTCGTTCAAGGTGCGGCACGAAGCAAGACCATTCATCATTAACGAGTGATGGTGAAAGCGAGGAAGATGTATATTAAAAGCTGCTTTTCTTAGTCTCCACGCTGCACACTTCTTCGTAATTTTCTCAAGAAAGGTAAAAAATTAAAAAATTGATGGTATAGTTACATCGCTCTAAAAGCATTGATTCGCACCCATATGGCCTGTACAATCGCTTTAAGATTACACAACCCACCGATATGCTGTCCCTTTCTGCTTTTTTCCTGTTCCGGATTTGAAGTGTGCGACAAATGATGCCTAGTCCACCTGCGCGACTATGACGGGGGAGCCTCCACTAATAGATGATGGTGATTCATGAAGGTGTCGCTATAAAAGAACGGTTGCGCTTGCTTGCCTCTCACTTACATACCTGCACTGCAGGTGCGATCGGAAACATACCAAAACCTACGATGGATCAACGCATGGAAACAAAAGCTGTCTGACACAAATCACATGTGTTTCTCTCCCCTCGCACTGTTCGGTAACCGAGGTTGCGCAATGAGCGAGCATTTACGTGTAAAATAACATCATCACCGACGAATGATAACAGTCCGGAAAACTGTATAAAAGGAGTCACCACTTTCAGTCTTCAATCTTTGCACTGCGAAGTCGAGCCTCTTTTGGAAGGCTATTAAACTCATCGACAAGCGCAATCATGGAGTCCGAAACAAAGCAAAGCGGAGCCTATGCCTGCTTGCCTGCGAAAAGCATGATCCACTAATGTCATGTGCTCCTTCGGCGTGCTGGCTACATCAAAACTGAGTTCGGTCCAACATCTCACCACCAACGAATGATGATGCCATAACACGCAAAGGAAGCAGTATAAAAGGCACCGCAATCATCCTGCTTTCGTGCTGCACACTTCTCTCTGAGAATCTCTGGAACTCCTAAAATCGTGTGGTCAGATGGGTTATGGAGGGAACAAAAAGACGATAGCAAGAGCCGCATGTGTTCGTTTCCCGTGCGCTTCTCGAAAGCCTAGTATAGCTTAGCCATGAGAGAGCGTGCGAGGCGGGAAGCACCATCACATACAAGTGATGATGATGTTTGAGTAGATGGGTATAAATGGGCTTACTTCTTCTGGTTTTGGGCTGCACACTTCCTGGAGCTTCCTTTTTGGGTGACTAAAAGTCGAACAGGAAGACTATATGGTGTGTGGACTCAAAGAGACAACCAATCCACAATATTTTCTTCTCTGCTTGCCTCGAAAATCGATCATGACGAGGTTTATGCGTCTGCCTACCGTGCGTGCTGCATTAATAGCGCAGTCACTCGGGAGGACGTCAGCATCAATGGACGATGATGATGTGCGAGTGAGCGCACACAGTATATCAAGCCTTCTGCTCTCCGCCTTTCTGATTCACACACTCCTTCAGAATTTCCGATGATAGTCACTAAAAGTACATCGATAACGACACATGGTCCAAAAGCAACCGGTGATCCGCTCAATGTGTCTGCCTGCTCTGCTCCAAAAGTGCCAATGTCTGTGCTATAAGCGAGCGTTCGTGTTGCAGATCTCATCAATCGCGCGTTCTGTTCAAGACGTGTCATCGGCAGTAAGTGATGATGATTTGACAGAAAGGTATGTAAGGAACACTGTCCTTCTTCTTTCCATCGGTACACTTCTTCAGAGCCTCTGGGAGGCTTCTAAAAACCAAAGCAAGAACCAGCATGGTGTCTAAAGCCGCCAAAATTTCGTTTCATGTGGCTGCTTCCCGTCTTGTTCTTCAAGATCTCTCTCTATCGCGTCATGAGCATGTGGCAATGATCTGTTCCCCGGAAACAACCTCCGTCGAAGGTGCATCGAGTCTGAAAGACATCACCATCAAGAAGACTATATGATGGAACGACATACACGTGGCGGACATGAACACTATAAATAACTAATCTCGCTTGCCTATCAACCCTACACTCTTTACACAGATTCTTCCAAAAAACTGCAAAACCCGATGAGGCTTGTAATGATGTATTCAAAATCGGGTAGTCTGGTTTTGCATGTCTTCCTCCTTCCTGCTGTTCTTCAAAGGTCGATCCTGTCGACGTCATGAGCGAGGGTGTGGTTATGGTAGTGCATAACGTATCAACGAACGCGATCATAGCTCATGCTGTAACAAAGAACGAGGGCAGCACTAACGTACATCCGCAACAAAGTTCGATATGGAGAAACTTACTTTCCCTGCAATCCTTGTGCTGTGCTTTCTTCGAGGCTTTGAGGATGCTATGAAAATGCGGAACTTCCCTGACATGATCCCTAGAAAGACGAAAAAAAGGCCCATGTGTCCGCTTACCTTCCATGCACTTTACCTATGGTATGGTACAATTGACCACGCATTCACAACAGAGAGCGCTCGTTCACATAGTCTACACTGTGTCGTGCGCGTTTCAGTCCGGAGATGTCACCATAACGAGGTGGTGATGGTGATACGGAGCAGAGTATATACCCTGGCTTTTCTTTCTAGTCTGTCCTGCGCACGTTTTTAGGGGACTCAGAGGAGGCTCGCCAAGAATCGAAAACTTCCAAGGCAATGCCTCCAAAAGCGGAGGAAGACAGTGCTATGTGCCTCTTGGCTTTGCCTTTCTCGAAGCTAGCTACGCGACACGTAATGGACGAGTGAGTGCTCATGGTCATGCAAAGCCTACTGGGTTTTCACAGTACTTCATAAACATTACATCGTCCAAGTACGATGATGATGACGACAATGATGATGCGGGATCAGGGAATGTACAAATAGGCGGCTTGCCTTAGGCTTTTGTGCTGTACACTTCTTCACGGCTTCTGACAGGCTCCCAAAACGTGAAGAAAGCATGTAATGCCATCCAGAAAGACCGTGAACAGAAATTGATGTGTCCGCCTGTCCTGCTCTTCTCTAAAATAGTGACGTTGCGTTTGACGAGCCTTCGGTTGTTGGCTATGTCGCTCGCTGACAATGTGCGTAGAGCGCGACGGTGGTGATATATGTCACCATCGGTAATACTGATTTCGATCAAGCTACGAGTAACCAGGGTTGATATCGACGATTCTGAGATATACATTTAAATCTATGGAGCCTCGCTCAAGCATTTTTGAGCAGCGAGAGACGAATCTTAATCGTCATCGCGCTTGTTATCTCGACTTCTTGCTCATCATGCCAGGGTCGTAATACTCAGGATATGACGTCCTATAGCCAAGCATATATTCGCCGATCCACTTTCCCATCACCAAGCCGAAGACATACGATAAAGGACGCGCTACCCAACCAGGCCCGGGAAAAGCGAGACTGACCTCAGCAGAGTGCAGGAACAAGAGGAGCTGGAGTGGGCTGGGCTCGACCTTTTGCGACTCACAGTCGTCGAGGTAGCAGTAAAGGTTGCGGAAGAAGCGCTCGTTGCCGCCGACCTCCTCTTCAGCCGTCTTATCGTCTACTAGCGGCGACGCTTTGAGCTCTATTTGAATTTCGCAGGGTTCGCTGCAGTCGGGATCGGCTTTGAAAGTGTGGCGTGCTTGTGGCGGGATGGTGACAGGTTGGGGATCATTTGGTGTGATGGGGATCTGTTTGCCTTCGAGCGTGAAAATGAAACGTCTGGGATAAGGGAGGCTTGATTAGCTAGTTTATAAGAATAGGAAGAATTGGAGCCGTCACTTACCCTTGGGTCACGGTGAAATATTCTTCCTGATACCAGTGCCAATGCAGCGGAGGAATCAACGGGTTCTTATCGTCTGGTAGGTCTCTATAGGCGCCCGGCTTGTGAAATACTTGCACCTCCCGGACACTGCGGCGTGCTTCTGGCACCAGCCAAGAAGTGGTTCGCGCACCTTTGTGAAGGGTGAGTTCTTTTTGACGAGCAGTCTGGCTTCGTTTGACGTGAAAAGACATTTTTTCTGTGGGTACCGTAGTCAATGGCGAATTCCACCTCAAGGGCACTGCCTTTTACTTCAATACAGAGTCGGGAAGTCGGGATGCTGTGTTCGAGGCGCGCCCAATAGAACGGTGGGACCGCCCCGCATCAACACGTCATGTGCGTGCTAACGGAACCTCGGAGTGCTGCATACCGGCTTAAGATAGAGACATAGAAAGCAAGTTTGCGGTGGGAAGCGCAGATTGTAAAGACATGTAAACGTCCAATAAGGCTGATGATGTATGGCGAGGTCGAGGAACTCTGAACCCAAATGCTGGATAGACGATCACGTGACTTCTGCGTCTACTGTGTACCTTGAAGAAGGCGCTACGCACTCCCTCATCCACTTCCCTCCTTAAGCGCCAGCCTCGCAGAATGCGGAAGCCCGATTTCAGGTATGTCGGATAGTCATGCCTCCATCAACTGGTATCGTGGTTCCATGCAGGTACGATGAAGCGGGCAGGCAGACGTTGACTGTCACTGTGGAGTTTGAGTACTGCTAAGTGTGGTAGCTATTAGAACGACAATTTAGACTTACCCTGCGCGACTTCTTCCGGGTCGGCATAGCGCCGCAAAGGCACACGTCGTTTAGCATATGCTTCCTTCTGCTCCGGCGAAATGCGTGCTGTCATGCCAGTCTAGGATTATGATTAGTTGCAGCAGTCTAAGAGCAGCACCGAACTCACAATGATCGGACCCGGACAGACTGTGTTGACCTACGTGCCCCGTCAGCTTCAATTGACTCCAAGCCCTCCTTCATGTGCTCTTGTTTGCATACTCACTGTAATGTTCCCATACTTTCCCAACTCCACTGCAAAAGCCCTCGTCAGCCCCGTGACTGCCGACTTGGTCGCACTGTACGCTGCATTCGCTGGCCCTGTGACAAAATGCTCCGTGCTCGCAATATTCACGATGCGCGCGGCCTCGCTTTTAAGCATCGCTGGCACGCATGCGCGGATGAAGATGACGAGGGCAGAAATATTGATGTCGAGAGTTTTGTCCCATCGTGACTCGAAGGAGTCGTCACCGTCGAAAGCACCGCCGCCGAGCGAGACACCGGCATTGTTGATCAAGATCTAATTTGTCAGTTCTGGAGCAGTAATGACCAACCAGTATGGGTGTCTACGAACGTCAAGCCCACCGAAAGCCTCGATGACCTCCTTGCACACTTGCTTAATTCGGTCTCGGTCTGCGACATCGCATACCCAGCCCCGTGCCCTTCCGGAGTGGACGGCGTTGATCTCGTCGACAACTGCTTGTACTTTTCCGTTATTTAAGTCGAGGATAGCCACCTGGACGCCCTCGTCCGCGAGCAGCTTGGCCGTCTCTCTGCCCATGCCCGAGGCGGCTCCCGTAACGATGGCTTTCTTCCCATTGAGTGATCGAGAGAGTTTTGTTAGTCTTCCGGCTGGTGCTTTGACGTTGCTCAGATGCGACGAGAGGATATCTAATCTGTTGAGAGCCTGGCGGGCATACAGGTCGGACTTGTCTGTCATGATCACTGTTAAGGAAGGGTGCTTTGTTCAAATCGATTCGACGTGTTGTTGTGTTGCCAATGCGGAGTAGCGATGCGGCGCGATTACCGAGGTTCCGAGACGGCCAGCAAGTCAACTCAGTACAATCTTTCTTCACTTGAGAATGGCTTTGTCAGATAGATGCCGGAAGGATTTACTACTTGGTCAGTGCAGCCGTTTTGGGAACGAGTGAGTTGCTCAGCGTTGCGCTGTCATGGCTGTGCAGCGTAGAAGCAAGCAGCGAGCTAAGGACAAATCGGGGTATGTCATTACCCTTTACGTACTAGTCTCAACATGCCGACTTGTCCTCCGAATGTACTTCTACATGCCCTTCTGCCATTGACTTTGTCCATTCCCAATCAAGATCATGTGTACCGGCCACAGTCTAATGAACAGTCGCGATCAGAATTCTGACAGCTATTCCCAAGGCATGCAGGAAGGTATCGAGCAATCGACGAAATGGGTTTTAGAGTCTGCGACTTACGTCCGGGATCGCTGTGAGCAAGGAAGGAAATTGATGGGCTACTCAGACGCACCTGTGGAGTGCGCATCTCTGTCATTCTGTTGATGTTTCAATGCTTTCAATATCGCCTCATGTGGAGCTCTGTGCTGGGCCACAACTATGCAGATACTGTTCTCGAGTCACTACTCACGGGACTTATACAAGGCTTTCGTCGCACGAGCATTGCGTCCTCTGCAGGGGTTTGCGTGAATGTACTTGCATTTCCATCTTCTCGTCATTACGTCACTGAACCATACTGCTCCCATGCTAACATCGTCCGACCTTCTACTTGATTAGCCAGCTGGAGCCAAGCCACCAACATGGTTGCAAAATGCTCTCGCAATACAGATTCGCCAGGGAAGGCCACGCATATCCGCTTCCGCTCAAGTCCACCAACTATACCGTGTATCGAGTGCTTGGGACAGGAATGTTCTCGACAATAGAACAGTCTTCAAGCTCGTCGCATGTGCTGGATTTTGAAGTGTGATATCCGCCAATGAGTTGGCGTGTCCTCGAAGTCATTGAAACTCGCTGGTTATCGCCCTGGTAGTCTCCCTAATTATCACTCTTATCATCGTTCTTGTCATCGTCCTTATCATCGTTCTTGTCATCGTTCTTGTCATCGTTCTTGTCATCTTCCTGCTCGGGCCCCATAAGATCTCTAAGCACCTCGAAGAATCGCGCCGTCCGCGCATGGTGTACGACTCTATTCGGAGGTAAAATCACCCATTGAACCCGGAGAATATCCAAGGCCGCAAACTCGTCACTGTGGCGGCGACCAACCTCCTTGATCCAGTTGCGTGCCACACGATAGAAGTCTATAGTGGCTTCTTCGACGGTCCATGCGGAAGAATCGATACGAGTGGCCACGAGACTCTCGAGCGGCACATTTGCCAGATGATCGAGGTTGAATCGACAGCAGTCGGAAGCTTTGCCTCCCTGTACATCGAGGGCTATCGAGACCTCTATGTTGCGAAGGTGAGGAATCGCTTCCGGGAAATGGACTATGAAGGCGTGAAGTGACGCCTGTGAGAACTGGAAGAGGTTATGGGTGTACAGGAACGGCGTGGCTTCCTGGCAGACCTGTTTGCACGTGCGGAGGAGATTGTAGGGTATGTCATTTTTCTTCTTCTTGCTCTTCAGGACGGCCTTCGTCCGGTGTCGAAAGGGCACGCCGTCAGGATCTCTTTCACGGGTTGTGGGATCCCAAGGGGTGATGATGTGCATGTCCTGGTCCGAGGTGAACGCGTACTCGTAGATCATGTTGCGGATTTCCCCAGGCCTAGAACTCAGTCAGCGACGAGTTTTCGAGTCGTGGATAGGAGGCGGAGCGGGGTATCGAGGTTATACTCGCGATACTCACAGTTGCAGGAAGTCGAGGGAAGTCTCGTCTTTCTTCTTCCCTTTAGCCGCCTTGCCCTTGGCCGCCTTGGTCGCCTTCTGCTTCTTCGTAGCTACGGCTACCGAGTTCGTAGCAGCGGATGTGGAAGCGGGTAGAGCCGGGGCGACTTTACGTCGCTTCCGTTGGGGTTGCTTCACCTCTACGTCATCGCCTGCCTCGAGCTCCTCATCAGAGATGTCAGGCTCAGCGTAGTTGACGAATTTCTGGGTGCTATTAGCTTTGACGATATGAGCAAGGGTCAAACATACCCGAGATCGCTTGCTCATGGTGAGAGGCTCCGAGTTCGGTTTGTCGTTGAGTGGAATGCTAATGTGCGGGTGGACACGTAGAATAGGGCGGGCACACAATTCCGGAGGTTTTATGCAAGATAGCGTGGCAGCGCACGTGCCATTCAGGCAGTTCGGGATGTGAGACAGTGGAGGTTGAAAATGCTTTGGCTACGTGTTCAGGTAGCTATGGAAGAGCAGTTGAACAGAGGTTGCAAGCGGGGGTACTTCTACGATTAGTGCACCTGCCGAAGTGTAGACTTGGACGCTGGGCAGGCAAGATCAACAAAAAGGTTGAGTTCAAAGGAATCTTGGAGGTTCTTGTTATCGGATACAGGACAATGAAGTGAAAGCCTTCATGCGGCTTACTGCTTTGAGGGTGAAATATGGCGCTACCGTGCGTCAGCAACAAAGAAAGCCTGTACGATCAAACGCGCTTGTTCCCAAGACATGCAAAGCTATTTCCATCCCCTATGTGCTCTTCTCTGCTGGTTTCAACATACACAGTGGGTGCGGCTATGTTCGGACACCGTGACAAAAGATGTCACCAAGCGTGGGTTTTCCCTGCACTTGAAGTGATACCACGCCTTTTCCCATGAGCGGCTATTCCTCTGCCTTTCGAGTCGAACATATCGTTATATCTTCGTCTATCCGCGTATACTACTACGACACTTTATGAGGGACCACCCTCCATCCTCTTTCGGGAGGGGGAGGTCATGAACTACAGGGATGTAGAGGAGACCCGAGCCAAGCGTGGAAAGACAAAGCTGTCGTCGGTAAGGGGAAGCGATGTGGTAAGTGCAAGGATCCAGCGGTTCATCTAGCGATAGAAGAGGTAGATGCGGGACTATCGAAAGCAAAGTTCGAAGCAACGCAAAGAAGGGAAATCGAGCCAAAGGACGTCTGAAATGATATGGAGGGCTCCAGGCGTGTAGATTCATTAAGAAAGTCAGATCGTTTTCATCGTATACCGTAGAGATCGAGCCAATCCCCCTAACCACTCTAGGGTCTGCCACTCTAACCTCGTGCAGACCCCTACCAGCTTCATCGAACTTTTCCAAGTGTGAAACCCGACATTGAACCAGAGTTATAACCAACCTGAAGGCCACTGTTGCCACTACCTAAGAAGGTAATGTGGTGAGACCTGTCGCCGCCATCGATCGCCTTCCTCAAGGCCTGCTCCAACATTTTGTCCTAAGCTGCGGCAATCTCTCTCAACACAGAGACCCCTTCACCATCTCTAATAGTGGATGCTTCTATGTCGCAGAGCTCACGCTAAGTCTTCTTAGCGGTTAGGAAAAGCTTAACTAAGCTATTAACTAGCTTAGTTATATCTTCAATTAGTCGTCAGAGCTACTTCTCTTAGTACAACGCCCACTTTACCTTTTACCGTATGCCAGACCGGTTTTGGCGCTTAAGGGCCAGCTGTCGCATCTTCTTATACAGTTTTACTATTACTAGATTAAGGTCTATCTACAGGTCATATACAACAAGACTGTCGTCCTAAGGCTCCATTTAACTCTTATATCTATTCAACACTCCTTCTGCTTCCGCGAAAAGTTCTACAATCTGGCTAAGCAAGGCCTTGGCGTGCTTAATAGTTCCTTCTAACCCAAAATGCCCTTAAAGTGACACTGCGTCTCAAACATCCTTATTTAGACCTAGAGATTTGCCCCACCTCAACAAGCGAAGTCTTGCATTATTAAGTTTAAGCTAACTTATTTGGAAGCTCTTTCCAAAAGTGCGGCTAAGCTGGACGAACTTAAAGCACTTAATTATGTTGTTGTAAAGGCCAGCAAGGGCAACAACACTAATAACAAGCCCTGCTGTCTCTGCCATGTCGGTTCGCTGGAGGGAATACAATAGTGATGGTGAAGACGAGGAAGAAAGAGGAGATATAACAAAGAGTTGCAATAAAGAGATCGATAGATGTAGGCGTGCCTTCCCTCTAGCTTGTTGCGCGCAGTTCAACACGAGGTAGGGGCAAGGGGGCAAGAGCCCAGCACCTATATTAACAGCTCAGCCGTGACGGTTCAGCCTCGTGCGCGCAAAAGCAGCTACGTGTCTGCGTAAGGCTCTTACCACTACACAAACCAGGTTGCCGCTGTGTACGATGGCCCACTCTCGCATCTTAACTTCTTTCGCAGGCGACAGAAACCAGGGGTTACAGGTCGGATACAATTCGGGCTCTATCTAGACACACAACTATCCTCCCAGCAAGTGCCCACTCCTACCTAACTAACATTGTGCTAACTACTATGTCTCTATAGAGCGCCCCAAGACTCCACTATAGCCGTCGTGTATTGTGCTATTCCGTTACGACCTAGACTTTGTCGCTCATGGAACGCTACTTAACTAGATACATAAGCGATGCGCTGCGCCGGCGTCTTAAGTCGCGCTGGTGGGCCTTAGCGGTGTGGGGTACGTCTAATAGAAGCACTCTCGGGCTAAAGCGCACACTTAACACAGAACATAGGAAGTTGCAGCTGGCTATTAAGCACTACTACCGCACCGTAGAGTAGTCGCCATAGACATAGGTATTCTAGGCATACACCAGCAACACGGCTCGACTCGAGCTAAGCTTCCGGGAGATTACAGACCAGGCCAAACTACGTGGCTATAAGGAACCATAAGTAGATGTATTTAAGCTCATGCATAACTAGCTTCGCAACAAGAAGAATGGACCATAGCTATTAGTGCTTAATAACGCTGACGACGCTGCTATTCTCTCTCCACCATTAACCTACACCCAGCAGACAGACAAGGATAGTAATAGTAACAGTGCCACTCTCCAACAGCAGTTATCAAGGTATCTACCTCTAAGTAGGCATGGGTCGGTCCTCATAATAAGCCAGACTTAGCGCGCGGCTACGCAGATCGTAGAAGATAATAACGTTATACTAATTAAGCCCATGCATAATGCGGCTGCGTGTGCGCTTCTTAATAAGAAGCTTAGAGATAAGTTTAATAGGAACAAGGGTATTGCAGAGCTAGCGGCAGCACTAGATTATATACCACTTGCTCTTATATAGGCAGTGGTATACATTTAAAAGCAAGCACCGCAATACTTAGTGCAGTAGTACCTAGAGGAGTATTAGCAGAGCAATAATAGAAAGACAAGCCTACTAAACCAGGAGGCTGGCCATCTTCGCCGCAACAAGATAGCCAGCAATTCTATTTTAATAACATGGCAGATATTATTCGACTATATACGCAGCACCCGAAGGTTAGTAGTAGACCTATTATCGCTAATAAGCTTCTTTAACCGGCAGGGGATATAGGAGTCGCTGCTACGCAGCCAGAGTAGTAAAGCTAATAACAATTCTAAGAATGAATATCTTAACAACAATTCTAAGGATAAAGTTCTTAACGACAAGGATGAGGATAATATCCTTAACGATACTAGTAATTTTAAGGAGGATATTCTCACTCTACGCGACTACACGTTTATTAAAGTCACTAGAGATGTAACCACGTTTAAGATACATAGCCTAGTGCAGCTTACCACGCGTAAGTAGCTAGAGAATTAAGGCCAAGTTAATAAGTGGAGGAAGTAGTTTATCATCCACCTTTACGTAGAGCTGCCTAATAGAGAGTATAAGAACTAGGGAAAGTGCTAGGCGTTATTCCCACATGTAAGGGCGGCGTTGGCACAGCAGCCTAAGGACGAGGAGTTACTTAAGAGGTAGGCGCTATTACTATATAAGGCGGCATAGTACATAATAGCGCAAGGAAGAGTAGGCAAGGCAGAGCATATATTAATAGTATTAATAGAGGTAAGGAGAGAAGTATGTAGAGAAGAGAATAAGGATACGTTATAGAGCATAAGCATAGTAGGATGGTTAAAGTGGCTTAGCGGCAAGTATAATAAGGCCGAGTTAATGCGTAGGCAGACACTAGTGTTAGAAGAGAAGATACTTGGGCCTAAGCATTACAACACAGTAGGGAGCATAAACAACTTAGCGCTAGTGCTACATAAGTAGGGCAAATACAAAGAGGCTGAGTTATTACATAGGCAGGCGCTAGAGATTTACAAGAAGGTACTTAGGCATAAGCATCTAAATACGTTAACAAGCATGGGCAACTTAGCTAGTGTAATAGGTTGTTAGGGCAGGTACGTAGAGGCAGAATTGTTGCACAGGCAGGTGCTAGAGATGCGCGAGAAATTACTTAGGCGTAAGCATCTAGACACATTAACAAGTATACACAACTTAGCGCGTGTAATAGACTGTCAGGGCGGGTACAGGGAGGCTGAGTTGATATATAGGCAAACGCTAGTGCTAAAGGAAAGGGTACTTAGGCGTAAGCATCCCCAGACGTTAGCAAGTGGAAATAACTTAGCGGGAGTACTACGCAATCAGGAAAAGCATAAAGAGGCTGAGTTAATATGCAGGCAGACGCTGGCGTTGCAGGAAAAGGTACTTGGACGTGAGCATCTAGACACGTTGATCGCTATGAACAACTTGGGGGCAGCGCTATCCAGCCAGAGTAGGTATGAAGAGGCTGAGTCAATGTACAGGCAGACGCTGGTGCTGAGGGAAAAGGTGCTTGGACGTGAGCACCGGGACACGTTGGGAAGTGTATACGACCTCGCCTGCCTCCTCGTAAAGCGACATCGCTACAACGAGTCTCTTGCTCTGTACGAAAGAGCATGCACTGCGTACGACACTGTCCTCGGGAAGGACCACCCGACTACCCGCGATTGTCACGAGGATTACACTGAAGCCAAACGACTTGCATCAGAAGCACAGCGTCCAAATACCTTGTCCCCTGCGACACCAGATAGCAGCTCCAGTACACACAAAGGCAAGGCATCGAAACTGGCACGGGGCCTGGCGAAGCTTGCCCTCAGGAGCTCAAAGAAGCCTACAAGATAGGAGACATTTTCATAACATACACATGTATTCAATTTTTCGTATAATTACACGCAGCTACATCCTTTCAATCCATTGCCTAAAGTAAGCAGTACATCCCACAAGAACAAGCGCATGCAGAAGGCA